AAAAAAAAAAACTGCATTACCCTCGTCAGGCTAAAAGAGAAATAAGGAAACGATTACTATGAACTGTTTTCACACATTCAGAGTATGTATAGACAGGCCCTCCGGAGACTGGAAAGCAGACTGTGAGGGCGGCAGCACAAAACACACTTTGTGTGTTGTGCGGCCAGTGTGTTCGCAGGAGCAGTGGGCTGTTCCCGCCAAAGTCTGTTTGTCAATATGTGAGACCATATGTTAGTGCGTATCAGAGACGGTTTACGCTAAAGCAAACCGCCGAAGGCAAAGGATGTGAGGCAGCCCTGAACCAGCTCCCCTTAACAATCCCCACATGTTGTGGTGGCCGCACACACACACACAGGCCTCGGCCCCTGAGCGGGGGCACCTCGGTAAATGTTTATGTACTACTGCATGGCTTTTTAATTTGACTTTGCTGTTGAACGATGAAGCGATCCTTGTCTTTTTCCAGTCACACGACGATCGTTTGGCCTGCGCGGCCTGCTTCTCAAACGGCTAAAGTTCAAAAGAAAATGCTGTCAGCGCGGCAGAAAGAGGGCCGAGCTGTGAAAAATGGCAACATTATCTGAATTAAACATCGGATTCTGAAACAAACCCAGCATGTGAATTCATCTGTCATATGTTATTCAAATACAAGCCCAGCCTTTGTGTATCTCAGTATATCCATCAACTGCAAGGCTACAGAAATGAAAATGGATATATGTAATTATCCTTTGATTGCTTTCCCCGGAGGAAAATAAAAGAAGCTCTCAGACTTTGAAGGAGCTGTGGTCAGGTAGAATGGTGGGAGGTGGGAGGACTGGGAGCAGGGTTCAAACCTCCTGACTCCTCCCTACCACTTATCCTCCAGACCCGACAGATAAACATCTGAGTTTCCCAGGCTGAGGGGAGGTCTCACCTGGGAACAGACAAAACTACCACCAGGGGGTACGTGTAAAGAAGTGGGGGGTGGCTTTTACAGTCTCCCCCTCTCTCTTTGCATCACACGCATGCAACGAACAAAGAGGAAATGACGGATGGCGGTCATATCATTATCTATTCTGTCCTATAACGACAAGCCGCTGAAAAACTTCGGCACATAAAAGAAACACAGGTGCTGGCGGCACTTAGTCTTTCGCTTTTAAATGTTTCATAGTCAACACCTCCCTCTTACCCGAGGCACCCATGTGTTGTGAAGCGCGAAGCCCAAAAGCACCACGCTGTTTCACTGGCAAAACACCAAGCAGGCCCTCAGTGAGTATCAGGTCTCAAAGCACACATGGCACACTCTGAACGCCGGGCCCAAGCTAAATAAATCATCAACCATCTCGCAGTCACAAGTAGCCGCGGCCAACCGTCAAAGAAGAAATCCAGAAAAAACAAAAGAAAAAAATCGCAGCTTTGTCCCATCTGTTCCTTGGAGCTACAGAAGCCAACACAGGAAGATGCTGGAGACAAACAAAAGAGAGCAGAGCCCTTAAATGTAATGTATGCAAATGTAGACGGGAGGCTAGTTCAAAAGGCTCATATGTGGTATTCTTAGTAGTGAGCGTGCCCTGGTTTCACCCCGCGTGCGGGGCGGTCTGTCATCGTGCCACTGAGTCGGTGCCGACGGCGAAGAGGAAGAACTCCGGCGGTACAAGCGTGTGAACTGACACAAGGGTTGGCGAGGGGGCAAAAGCTGATAAGACTGTGGAAGAATAACATCTCAGTCCCTCCCTCCACGTCCAAACATCCATTCACATCCAGTGGGAGGAGAAGGGCTGAATACTCAATGATATTTCTGAAAGGCTGCCAGGATAGAAATCTGAAGGAATTTCTCTCGATTTCTGTCCGTAGGAAAATACTTGGAGGGGGGGGACAAAGGACAAAAGACTGATGTGGCTAATGGCCAGAAGAGAGAAGAAAAAGAGAGGAGAGGAGATCACTTCTTGAAGGTCACGTTTGGAAGCCTCTGATGGGAGCAGGAAAAGGAAAGAAAAGAAAAGACCATTATGAGGGTGTCTGGTCCCACGGGACACAGGGGAGGCGTAAGATAAATGTGGCACAACACGAAATGACAAAGAGACAAATATGTGTGTGAGTCAAGGTGAAATGTATGGAGAAGAAAAGAATGTTCTGGATAACCTGCGACAGTGATGCTCTGAAAGTCAGAGCGTGGTGGCTCCTTATGATCGAACATGAGGGTTCAAGCAAAGGTTCTTCATCTCTCGAGTCTTCGGGAGCAAAAATAAGTGAGCTTTTTTTCTGCGTTCGACATGGATGTGGAACTTTCTGGTGCTGTTGTGGGTGGAAGTTAAAAGGAATTCCCCTTCCAATGATTAATTCACATACACTGATCACACGGCATCAGCCAAGTTTTTATCCAGCAGCAAAGCAAAACCGAAAGGGATCTTTTGAGAAGGCGTCTTTCCACTTGCTGGTGAGAAGCAAATGAACTGGGCTGCATAGGCCTGGGGTACAGGCTGTTTAATAAGTAAACAGCTTCTGCAATATGGAAATATTTTTCATTTTTTAACAATTTCCACGATCACTCATTATAAAAATGTTTTTTTAATTTTCCAAAAACTTTTGTTTACATCCCCTAAAAGTGAATCCACAAGTTCAACATACCTCGACAGTTAATACTTCCTGCCCCAGACTAGTTTGTAAATAAGACACAAAGCCTTGAGGAAGGTTCTGTGAAGTATTGGTATCACTGGTGGATATTCTTGGACCTGGAGGCAGAAGTTGTAGGCTGGGATCTAGAAAATTAGAGGCCTGGGTCAGTCGCTTTAGCTTTGTTCCACTAGGAGAGGGTCACTGCCATGGAGAACTGCTTCTGGCATGGGGGAGGGTGTGTTTGGGCGTCTTTTGTTCTGGCCCTGAAAAAACTGATCATATTTCTGAGATTTAAGACGAGGGAGAGAAATTCTACATTACAAAAATATGTAATTGTCACCTAATTGTAATTTTCATCACACTAATTTATTTTAAAGATGAAATCAAAGAAATGTATGTTCATCAGAAACACTTCATTTTTTGGGGTTTATAAACCATTCATTGCCTAACGTGCTGTTTTTAATTCACAAGAACTCAGATTCCCTCCAAGTCATCCCTGTCCATGTAACAGCTAGCCTCCAAAAAAATGGAGCAGTGCATGGACAGCCACCTTACATCCTTCCAAAGACTACGTTAGAGCGAACGCTACTTGAAGTTATACGAAAGGACAAATCTACTTTAAGCCACACAGGGCCCAGCCTACTGGAATCCCAGTTGCTTTGATTCCCATGCTTAAAAAGGCCGTGGCTCTAGTTAAGATGGGTGAGGAATGAAGGCGGCCACAGGGCTTAGCCGGCCTGTCAGACTGTGACAAGCCAGCAAGAGAGGATAAAGAAGGTGTAGAATGATCTACATCAGGAGCCCTGCGGTGCAGCCAGTCTATAAAGTCATCAAGAACCAAAAGGGTGAACAAACACTTCATCACAAACTGGCCTGGCCATTCAAAGCGTTGCTTAAAGTATTAATCCCCTCTGGTTTTTCAGAACCGGGCAGGATTGGTGAGCGTTGTAATCAAAGGCCTTGTTGAGTCAGATTTGTTTCCCGGTCTGGATATTGAGTGTCAAAAGAAAGCTTTCCGCCCTCCGTTTGGTCCCTGCCTCACACTGGAAATGTTGCTTACACGGCTCAGGCCAGACAGCAGGTGTTTTCCAGACATCGATCTCCTCTAAGGTCACCTGAAACCCACTGACCGACAGCGGCTGACCCTGACCACCAGCATTTTTCTGCGTCTGTGCTTCCTCCCCCAGCCCACGGACACTTGCGTATTCCCAAAACAAGCCCGGGATGCGACGGAGTCCCAGCTGCCTTTGTTTGGTAAACATGTCCGCAAATGTCTGGCTGTGAGGGGCAGAGAGGCAGCCCAGTGAGGGGAAGCGGAGGGGCCCAGGCTGGCCGGGGGCCCTGCAGAGAGCCACCTGGACACACCCACACTCATCAGGGACCGGGCCCTCTGCCTCCGGCCACTTCGGGCCCACACACGGTGCGCTGCAACATAAATATTTGTCAGATGGGAAGCTCTCTCATCAGTGCAGGAAGACCGGGCTTTGAACTGAGCAGTAAACCAGGGCTGGTTCACACTCCTGACACAGAGTTTAGTCTGCAGAGTCTCCCTGGTCAACCTCACAACCGCTGCACAGGGGACCATTCACTCTCTCTACTGACCAGGTCACACAGATCAACACTCAGTTCCCAAACTCATTCTCAAAACAGCAGCTTTTCTAACAAACCGGGGCACCAAAACACGCTGCTTTAAAGAGGATGACAGCTGGGAAGGAGAAGATGATGGAGCTGCTGCCTCTTCTCCGGCCACAGAGCACAGGACACACTTGAGGGGCAGCAGAGGTGCTGGGAAGAGGGGCACACAGAGGAGGAGGTGGGACACAAACGAGGATGGGACGACGCAGAGTGATCTCTGCTGCCAGCACAGGAAAAAGGAAACCAACTGTCAGGAAGACAAAGGGGCCAGTAGATGGATGGAGATGGGAGTAGCTCTGCGAGAGTCGAGCTCTGAATAGGCTTAAAAAACAGACTGTGAAAGGTCATTTTGTACATAAAACGAGACAGGAATGGGGGGGGTGTGCCCTGGGCAGAGAGAGGGTCTTACCTCTTCTGGTAGACTGAGGTGTGCGCGGCCGCCGTCTGGTCTCTGCTCAGCTGCGCTCCGGATGAGTAGGATTTGTAAAGTCCAGTCTTCCAGGTCCCGCTGACCAGCGCCACCAGCGCGAGTATCAGCGCGGCCCGAAGCAAACTTTTCCTGCACAGCGCGGAAACGGTCTCTCGATGATGGCCCAGTCCCATTTCGGTGGCATTAAAAGTCTGACCACAGAAGTTTGAATGAGCCCCGACTTGATCCGGTTTGCTTCTCAGACCGGTTGAAGAGTCCAGTTGAGAGGGGGGGAGATGTGTCAAACTGCACCGGACCGGTTGGAGAGAACGCGCATCATCTTTGAATTAAAAGCAGAAACGCCTTACAGATGATTCCAGCTGCCCTCTGTGAGTCTGGAGAACACTGGAGTCCTCAGTGAGCCGCGGACCTGCAGCACTTCTCGTTGGTCTCCTTTTGAAAGTGAACCTTGAACACTGTTAAGTGTGCTGTCCCCCCCTGTGCGTGCGCTCTGCCTGCCTCCTTCCCTCTGTGCGCGCACACAGCTGAGCTGAGCCTACCCAGCAGCGGGCACGAAACCAGCTTTATAGTGTCGCCCGTGGCTTTTAAAAACACAGCCCGCTGGGTCTGCTCACCCAGCCCTGCTCCAACTGCTATCCGAGGACGATTCACGCTCAGGGCGACGCTACTTTTACGCACTGAGGGTAAATTGGGGGGGGGGGGGGGGGGGGGGGGGTGTGGGGGGGGGTGGAGGGGCTGCCTCTCAACGTTCCCCTAAAAGTAACAGGAGCAGCGTCTCTGATCAGTTATTTTTACTGGCACAACCAAGGGAATAAAGAGATTCATCCACACATGTGCAATAGTCAGGTAACTCATTTGTGAAGATGTTAACAGCCTTTTAGAACCATCACAGAGGATGAAAGTACTTCTGTGGAGATCACAGAGCGGTTGAATCTTTATCATCCATTCATTCCACAACCGTCAGCTGGTTGTTGTAACCCTCTTCCTCCCATGAAGGCTGCCACCGGCAGTCAGTAACCACAAAGCTGGAGTCCACTCCACCCTAAACACCTGCCCAGCTCAGAGCCGGAGCCGGGGCCTGAATCTGTCTGTGGCCACTGGCACAACTAGGGAAACTGACTTTAACAGGACTGAGAGAGCCCACCTGCCCACAATCACAACATATGGAAAGTTGTGGACCGAGGTGAGGCTGTGCCTGAAAATGATGTGTCAGAGGGTTTTCTTTTTCCCCTTTTTTTTTTCCAGAGCACCCCTTCAGTGTTTTATGAGGCAACTAGGAGCAGACAGTGGTGCCAAGCTGAAAGCAGAGCTGTGGAGGGTTGATGTAAATCCCCGTGGACACCAGCAGCTGAAAATAATTTTGACCTCTTAGAGGGAGACTGAGATTCAGCTCCACCAAAAGTTTTTTTTTCCTTTTCTTTCTAAGGTGACTTCTCATGCCGTCAGTCTCCCGCTGCCTTCGTTTTCTTCCCCTCCTCTTAATAAACTGAATGAGTTAAGATCTTTCCAGCCACATGAAGGTTTATCAGACTACACAACCAGCTATTATTTACTTCTTTTCAAGACGGGGAACCCAATCCTCCCCTTCCATGTTTGGTCGTAAACATGTCTTGATCTTAACTCTTTATGTTAGTTGTACCAGGCATAGTTGAGAAAGGGGACCTTTACCCTCTACCATTCTAGAGGGGCCCTTTTAGACTACACAGTATGGTAATGAAGATCTATTATCAATCTCATATGGCAGGGGAGGTACACTGAGAAAAGAAACCTGAGAAAATATCAAACTATGACGTTAATGTAATTTTTAAATAATTTTCTTTTGTTCACATTTATAGGCCTATGTTGAATGTAAGTGGGTGGATATTAATTACAGCCACACTCTAACAAAGCTAGTAAGTATTTCTGTGTCTGTCTACTCACTGCTTCACCAGCTGCCAGATCAGCTCTCTCTTTTTTAGAGACACATCGCCTGTTTCAGCCCATTGACTTGAGCTGTCTCGATTGATACACATGCTGCAAGGAAAAGCAACAAAGATGCCCGGTTGAAGGGGAAATTTTTTCTCTCTATGCAGAATTTACGCTGTCCCCTTTCAAGACAAAGACTAATACTCTGCAATGGCTGAATATGATGAGTTGAGATGATTCACGTAATTAGTAAACATGTGTCCATTACCAAATAATTCTCACACTGTTAGTTCCAAAAGATTGTGGGCCACAATAGTATGGGGCGGTGTGTGCTCTGGTATAGTCAGACAGGCGCTGGGTGATATTGACCAGGCTGAAAAGCCCAGTGCTTCTCTCTGCTGCCATCTAGTGAAAAAATATTGAGAACAAATAATCTTGGTTCCAAAAACAGAAAATGTTTTGGCACAAAGCAAAAAATATTTTGACAAAGCTTTATTTCTTTCTAAAAGAGGGAGACACTGTGCATCACTATGTCATTCAGATGCTTTTTAAGCATACAAACTCATTCTGAGAAAGTCTAAAGCTTAGATTTGAATATTAGTCCAATAACCCAACGTCTAATAATGGCGTACATACTAAAAGTATATGACTCTAAAGGAAGGTTTGAATATATCTTCCATCAATGTAAATTACACATGTGTTTGGAATAAGACAAATGTTTTGAATTATTATAGTTGCGAAAACCTTTACTAGCAGAAAACTGCATTCACAAAATGACTATAAACAAAAATAGGTTCATCTGGTTTTCTCAGTTTGGTTAGGATTATTATTTTTCTCAGTGTATCATCTTCAGTCACAGTTCAGATATAAACACACCCCCTGCAGTACCCAGTGGGAGATGTGCTTAGTGGTAAACAGGTCTGCCTCAAACACCAGCCCCACACCCATTGCATTTCTCCGCAAGGAAGTTGTATAGACTGGTGTCCTTATTGTATCCTGAGGTGAAAAACACAAGAAGATATACACAAAATAAGAAAAAATACCCAATTAATATATTATAATTAAATATGTAAAGTGCAGTGTCTGGTGGTTGGTGTTCGCACCTGCAACCTAAGACGGTGCACCTCAATGGGGATGACTCTGAGGATAGGCAGTTCAACAACCAAGGTTTTAGGGTTACTCTTGATTAGACAGCCCTTCTCGATGTCCCATTCTGCTCCCTCCAGATACAGACCGGACACAAGGCAGCCTGCATGCAGTAGAAAGTCAGTTTTCACATATACTCTGCACACATACATGTGCATCATTTCTTTACCTTGTCTGGGTTTGTGGCTGACTTCATCCTCACTGCGATACTGAGTCACTTCAGTGTAGAGAGTAGAAAGATCCAGAGGCCAGCCGTTTTTCCTACATGCAGCTTGAACAACAGCAGTGAGGTAGGACTCTGGAACGTGCAGCCCTGACAGCCACATAACCTTCGGTTCTCCCTCATTCACCTGGCAGACATAAAATTCATGAAATACAACAGACATGTGAGTAAACTCTCAAGTTATTTGAAAAGTAAAACGAATCCCAGACTAAAGCAGATGGTTATATGCTCTGTGCAGAGTTGTGTGCGGTGGTATGTCTTTACCCAATGACTATACTGTTCATAACGCCTTTTGAAATGGCTCATCCAGTTGCTGAGGGACTTCAGGGTGTTAGGTGCCAACCTCTTCCAAATGCCAGGAATATGCCCATTAAAAAGGGCCTGAGCCACTTCATCCAGCTCATTGCTCATCCCCACCTCCCCAGACAAGGCCTGTGAAGCACAAAAAAGAGTCTCAACAAATGCAAGCTGTGATGTTTTTGCCAATATCCTATTTTTTCCCTCTGCCCACACTCCAACTCACCTTCTGCAGCTCAGCCAAAGACAGCTGCATGCGGACCACCAGGTTGTTGAAACGCTCTAGTTCTTGAAGTAGCACCACAGAAGTCGGTGAGATCTCTGTGCCAAACGTCTTACGGATCACGTCCATGTCAAATAACTCCGGCAGCTTGTTCTGAATGTCTTGTGCCACCTGGCTGATGTGTTCGTCCCTGCTGATACTTCCACCAGATTCACCTGAGACATTAAAATGTTTAAAAGCTACTGAGAAGATATCTTGGCAACATTTAGGCAAAGGCCAAAGCAAATACTTTTTTAAAAAGCAGTTTTTAATTCTAAAGTACAGATAATATTAATTCTGATTTTGCCAAATCCCACCTGTTTGTGGCTGAAGGTCTATTAGGTGAGACCACATCTCTTTAGTCTCTTGGGTGTAGTACCCTATTTCTGCATTGGCATGAAGTCCAAGTACCTCTGGTGTGTTTGCTAGAGGCATGCTCTCAATTTCATCTGGAAGACACATGAGGGTAAAGCTGTCAGTAAAGTCAGAAAACAAACTCCATTCTCAAACCTGTGTTTCAGAGCAACAACAACTGACCAACATATACAATCTTTGGACCCATTGGAGGAATTTTGTAATCTACGTCTTCACTGAGGAAGAAGTGGAACTGCCGGAAGGTATGGAAGAGAAAGTCTCCAAGGTACTCTTCCATGTAGACAGACAGGATCCTCCGGTCAAAGCTGTCGATTGCTCGTCCACCGTACATCACCTATAAAAACACAACAGCATTCAGAATGAATGAACAGCTTTACCTAAATAACTAAATAAAAACCAACAAACCTCTCCAATTAAGTATTTGAGACTCTCCCAGGGGATATTCCTGTCTCCTTGGTTGTAAGCCTTTGTCAGGTAGGTGTTCAGGATCTCAACACACACCTGTTAAGCAGAACGGCATTGCATCAGCTACTGAGGAGTGACATTAGCCTGTGGTCCTACTACCGAAACGGAGCAAAGATTTAGAATACTGAGCCACGCACAAAAAAGTCGGACTCGTTAAAGTCGTAGGGGACGTTCCAGCCGAACTTTCCATACTTGCGCCTCTCTTGCACCACGGCGTGGAAAAAGGCCAGCACATAAACCAGGCTGCTGAATACAGGGTGAGGGCATGAGGTCAGCATCTCATGTGAGATTTTAGAGTATGTGGCTCTCATGTTGAGCTTTAAGCCATTTGGAGGCTCTGTCACCACCTGCACACGGAAGCAAAGCTTATGTAAATACAATGAAATGTTCTCACGTATCCAGCTGCTTTCTTAACAAACTCCTTCAATCCAATGACAACTAGTAAAGTTAGCCCTCGCATCAAGGATTGTAAAGAAGATAATGCAGAAAAAAAAGAGAAAGTGTGTTTCACCTTCATGGACTTTTGCAGAATACCAATGGGGAAATCTTTAATTGGGTTCGTAGTTATCCACAATCGGAATCTCGGGTTAGGTTTGGTGATTCTCTCCAAGGACTTTTCTAACTCCTTTAGCCACTTCACCAGCAGGTGGCAGTTCTGCAGCATCAACCACTGGCCACGAGATACCGCCTTATCCAACAACTCTAGAGCCACCTTCATCACAGGTAGAGGCCCATTACCCAAACTTGAAGATTTACTTACCGATACAACATCTGTTGTTATCATTCTCTATGACAACCACAAATGCTACATTATTAAGACTTGATAGTTACTGAGTGGAAAACGTCTGAAGTACCTTCTCTTGGCCTTGGCCCATTGCAAGGAACTTGAACTTGCTGCCTCCAAAGCCTGACAGATCGGCAAGTTTCTGGAGGTCACTGGCTGGGTCTGAGCCGGGGCTCAGAATGAAGACGATTGGTGAGAAAGGTGTGCTTTGTTCATGAATTGCAGCAAAGCTGATCACTGGGGGCTGTACATATCTGAGCAAAAAAGCAGGGAAAGTTTGAATTATCTCGGCTTGAATCAATATGCATGTGGATATGGGATCAATATGCTTTCTTTAGTACAGTTCACCTCCATCCCACAATTACCATACTGTATATTCACTGCTGTGCAATGGTTTTTACAATTTTAGCTTTTACAGAGGGGTAGAGATAGACAGGTAGATGTGTCCAACACACATTTGAACAGTCATATAAACTCTCTTACTTCTTGCCCATGGTCACAGTGACATAGTCTGTGACAGCTCTGAAGACTCTATCAACACGAAAACAGCGCAGCAACAGCAGCTTCTGAAAGGCTGATAGGTTCTCCTCATAATTCAGGGGGAATGGAACCTGTTCTGGTGTGTCCAAGTCACTCCACTGAGGAAAAGAAAATCAGAAGTAAACTAAATTGATCAAATAAGTTACTTTGTGACAGTGGTTTTGCGGCCCTGTCATTTACCACTTTCCAGTCACTTGAATGTTTTTCAATGTCGTCAGGAAGAGAACCAAATGTATCAGGAAAGAGCTCGGAAAGTTTCATTAAATCCTCCCAACTCTGGTCGGGAAGCCAGTCACAAGGCTTTCTGCGTTGGCTCTTTTCCAGAGAGAGATTACCTTTATATGAGAGATGGGAAGGCATGAAACGTTAGTTTGAGCATTGTGAATATTCATATGCTTGTGTCTGCAAGTGATTACTGTAAAGCCATTATAAATCTTTGGCATCTCACCCTTAATAAAGAACTCTAACTCGTCCTGAGGCACTCTCCCCTCTGCTTGCTCAATCTTTATGGTCATGTTAAAGGAGAAGAGCAACTTGTGTCTCTCAAACAGCCCTACAGATAAGTATTCAGTCAGGATGTTTTAATCTACAATCAAATTACATGCATTTAACTATATGAAATTGTTCTACCCTCATTATTTTACCTGTGCAACCATAGTTATAAACACTGTATGTTAGAGTGTTTATGATGTTCTCGAGTCTTCGGTGAAGGTCTGAGTTAGGCAGAGACTTTTGCAGTGAAAAGTTGAACACTTCCAGGTATGAGGCCAATGAGTACTGGTACATGCTGCTAACCAGAGCCATGTCTGTCAGTACAAAGAACAGAATAGCGCCGCGCTTGGCCGCAGGTCGGTAGCCATCTCTGAGTTTATCGATGTCCATGGACATCTTCTGAGCCAACTTAAGTTTCTCAAATACCTGATAAACAGATAATCAAACAGAGAGAAATAAGCTACTAAGTAAAAGTATTATTCAGACATGCACTAATCTATACTTGAGTCATATTTACCTCACTGGCTTTTGACTTTGTTTCCTCCAGTGTGTGAACAAGCTCTGTGTTATCCAACATATTGCCTTTAGATGTGGCCATCTCCCTGAGCAAGGAGTCCCCGAGATTTTTAAGCAACTTTTTATTGTCACTTGTCTCTTGGATTAAGCCCTCACGCTGTTCTTCCAACTCCTTCTTCTCAAAGCCCATTATAACACTGAGAAGCTGGTCTTCCAGCCCCTTAAGGGTCACTGAAAGAAAAAAAAAGTAGATAGAGACAAGTTATACAGTATCTTTTTTCCCATCATGGAAACTGGTTGCTGTACTTTAGATCTTACCAGTATAGTTAATGACCATCGCTTTTCCGAACACCGATGGAGAATATTTGGGGTTAGACAATTTTGTGTTGAGGTAAAGTTTAAAGTTGGGATCATAGTCCACCTCCTTGTCACCCAACATGATGACCTGCCTGCCCTCTGCTCCTTTTACATTCTTCTCCAGGACATTTTCAATTACAGGGTCAATGGATTCATCCACATCTTGAAAAAGGAATGGATAACCATATTTAATGGCCATCTCAAGTTGTTTCAGGAAGTCTGGATCATTGAAAGATGAGACCTGACAGAAGAATGGGGATAAATATTCTGAGTTACATGATCCAACAAAGTTCTAATTCTGGACCACCACTGGTTTCTCTGAGACCTGTATGAGCATGGAACATTAATACCTTCAGGTTATTGTTTTCTTCCTTCTTTTTAATCCAGTTTAGGGCTTGCTGTTGAGGGTCAATACACATGGGAAATCGGCTTCCTCTAGTTGTGAGAATTCCGTTCTGCACCGATAATTCATCTGAGGGCAAACCCTCTGAGCACCACCTGTCACACGGGGTTTGTTTGATGCATTAGCAACATAGTTCAACAAATAAACTTATACACAAATTGCTGTCATCAAAACACTTTCATTTGATGAAAAAAGGTTTCAATATACGTTCTCCTCACCTGCTGATTTCTACTTCATCAGTAAGAAGATTTTCCACTTTGAAAGGCTGACTTAAGGGGATGCCTCTCTCATGCACATCCTTAATCCATAGTTGGTATACCATTTCATTCCTGAAGTCCCAGCTGAAGGCTCCCTCGTAGCTCAAAAAAGCAGCAGAAATCAGGCAGTCACCAAGGAGACGCACACGCTGCTGCTTCAGTTCATCCAGATCTTTTGTCCACCTGAGTTGTGTATTTGATAATAAGGAGTCAAATCAAAATCTAGTTACACGAAGTGAGGAAAAAATAGATGAGAATTTATATTTTAAAAAAGCTATTTTTCGTGGTATGTTGCATTTGTACAACTTCACCGTTCATTTTCAGAGCCCAGGCCAGAGATGAGTTTGTCAGCAGCTTCAAGCCTTCGCTCCATGATATCAGCCTCATCCTGTAGCATCTGCTTCTCTAAAACAGCAGCCTCATATTTCTCTTTAAGAGAATGTAACTCCTTTTCTATTTTGCTGAGCTCCTTCTGAATTGAGTCCAATTCCCGCTTACTCTGAAAGAAGTCCTTCTCAAGTCGTGCTACCTAAAGAAGAAATGGCACAATGTTTTTCTCTTGAAATACATGATTTTGTATCAGGGACAACATAACCTTTGACTACCTTCTCTCTCTTGGGTTTTATTTGGCTGGCAACATCACAATAACCCATGACTGCTTCAACAAACTTAAACATTCCCGAACCAGCCTTACTGATCGCTTGCATCTCCTTTAGGGTTGTTTGCAGGTCCCTTAGGAACCCTAGCCAGATAAAAATACAAAGAAAAGTAATGACATTTACAGAATGAAGAACCAATTAGACAAATCCGTAAAGAAGCCTTGAGAGCTATTATTTTAAACTATTTAAAGAAATTAAGAGAAAGTTTGCAAGGGAAGTCTCAGGTAGTCCTTTCAAATATTGTCTCCAAATTTATTTTGAATTGTGAAAATTTACCTTTGACTTTCCTAATCTGGGAATGACTTATGGAATCGCAGTCCATCTCCATCAGGGAGCGCAGGAAGTTAGCTTCTGACATCATCCCCTTTGCTGACTGCCAGCTGATTTCATTGTAGCCACGCAGCACCAAGATGCACTCGCAGACCACCTGTACTGGTTTGGGTGGCTTAGCAAAAGAGCTGCAAGATGAGACGGAAAGAAAAGGCTGATTATTAAAAATAAACACCTCAACAAGTTCCCTTTTTTTGATCAGGAATCCAAGAATGCTTTACCAGCCTGTTTACTATTAAAAAGATTGAAAAAGAATATTAACACTTCTGTATGTCATGCTTCAGGTTAGCATCTGCTTTCTTGACATATATTTAAAAGAGATATTTGCATGACAGTTGACATTCTTTATCGATTATGTTTTCAGAATTATTTTGACCTTCATTGCCATAATTATTTTAACATAAGATTTTGATATTTTACAGGAGTTTACCGAATCTCTGTGACGTCTGATTTTTCCAGGTCTTGCAGGGCAATTCTTGCAGCCTCTAATGCAGGCAGAGCTTCAGTCAGGGCACTCTCAGCTTCTGTCTTCTCAACAGCTATAACTTTGTTCTGTTCTTCAATCTCTTTTGCTTTCTCTTCTCCAAGAGCCTTTTTCTCCTCAGCTATAAGGAAATGTCACAGATATAGCTTACCATAGCCATTGGCAACTTTTTCAAATTTTTACAATAATTAGTTCCAGAATAAAGATGCCCACTGACCTATTTTCGTGTTTGTGGCAATATCTTCCAGAAGGGTTTCACAAGCTGTGCACTTTTCAGCGAGGACTATCTTCTGATCTGCTAGCTTGACATTCAGCTCAGCTAGCTGCACACTGGCTTCCTTAAGTTTATCTAAGCCACCCTCTAAATGTTTGCACTGAGCTAAAACACAAGAGAAGATTGGTTGAAATCATCACTGACATACTAATAAGTATTTATGCAGTTACTTAAAACACAGGCATGTGATGCCTCAGGTCCATCCTCTTACCTAAAATGAATTGATCTTTTTCCTCTAATAGGTTAGAATAGCTGTTAATAAAGTCCAAGTAGTTCTTTGGAGTAACAAAGTTACATCGTCTGAGTTTTTGAAGGAAAATCTTGCTGTAGTCACCCACAGAGGTATGAACCATGCATACATGATTTATAACTGCTACAGAGTGTGCCTCAGGAATCATTGGACTTTCACCTGTAGAACCAAACAGAAAACTGGTAATTGTGAGGATTAAAGGATTCAGTTGCTGCAAATGTCCATCTGAAACTCTCACTGTAAAGTAAAGGAAGTTTAAAATTCCCATTGGAAGACCCTTGTCAAATATTCATGTGTTTTCTTTTCTCTTTTCACATGTTTCAACCCACCAAGGAAGGAATCAGCGACTGCATGTAATGCCTGTGGTGGCCATGGCAAAAACCAGTCTATCACCGTGTTGTTCAACAATCCTGAAAAAAGATACACACACATAAAAAAACAGTCACTAACATGGCAGAAATAAGAAATCATATGACAGTTTCATAAGCTTAAACACATAGGTCACCTGGAAAGTTCCTGCAGCGTGTTCTCAGGGTGTCTCCCACAGGAGACATGCCTAAAACAATGTGTAAATTGTTTGCACTCTTGTTAACAAAGTACTGCCACACGCTCTCTTTTGAAGGACCTGCTCCCATTTTAAGTGCCTCATCACGCAGCTTGTTGAGAATGGATTCCTTTTCTTCATCGGGGAACAGTGCAGGAACTATGCCTGATGTCAGCATGTTATTAATGAGCTCCAAGAAGCCTTCCTCAGCAACATGAGCATCAGTGAAGAGGAACACCATCTTCTTATCTTCAATGCCAAGCTTTGAGTACAGTGTTTTCAGATCGTCTCGCAGGCTGGATTCATTGTAGCCTCTGCTCAGTGTTATTTCAAAGATCTGTGTCATGCAGAATCAATTACCAAATGTTAAAAATGGATTGCTTAACCTAAACTTAATTTTTATTAGATTACAATTTTACATATAACATTATAGCTACCAGGGAAACTATTTAGAGACAATAAATATAAGCATAGATAAGTATAATTATAGATGTTAGTTCAATTTGGCAAACTTTAACACAACAGTTTAAACTTTCACAACCTCACAGCCAGCAGAGAATGCAGCGAGTTTGGTGAGGGACTGCTTCCCAGAGCCCCCCACTCCAACAAGCAGGGCATGGCCACGGTCGATGCGGACAATGCGGTGGATGCGGGTCAGATGCTCCAGTGCATCATCAAACAGTACTAAGTTCATTTTAGACTTTGCCTCATTGTATTCCTCAAGAATTTCCTGCAGAACGAAAGAAATGCATCGGGTGGAACATTGAAAAAGTTTCTCACATTATCCATCCATTGTCAAATAGGGTTATTCCTAAAAGGGTCGTACGGAGGTCTTTCCCACTCATACACAGGCAATTAAGAATAATAAACAAACCTAACATGCATGTTTATGATATTGGGAGGAAGTTGGAGATAACCCAACCCCACATGTAGAACATACAAACCCTACACAAAAAGGCCCCTATGGATTTGAACCAGTAACCCTTTTGCTGTGAGGCAATGAGTGCTAACTTTCATTTTTCTTTAGTTAATATACCAAAAATTTTTAGAAAACGTTTCAATAACACTGATACTACTATACCCGAAACAGAGCTTTTGAAGCATCATAGCCTTGAATGTCTTCATAGACTCTTGGTTCAGATTCATTAAGGACTGTTTTGTAGTCTCCAAAAAGTATTGGGTCTTTCATCACTGCCTCCACTTCGGACTTGAAATGCTCTTCAGTCAGGTTCTTTATGTAGCCTTGAACCTGTTGCCAAAAAGGGTAAGTTTAAAATCCAACATACATTAAAAAAGGGTGGATTCCATCAACAGTTTTGTACAATTGTATTACCAATGTCTTGTCAGTTTCATCGATTAGTCTGTCATGAAAGATTCTTAGGCACTCATTTCTCCAGATACGCACAAACTGGGTGACAGTCAGAAATCTGTGAGAGGTCAAATAAAATTGGAAAGAAGCATTTAATCTGAGACCATTTACTCAACTGTCGACAGAGTGAAATGTATAGACTCAGACCTGTCTGGCTGGGTGAGAACCAATCCATTATAGACTCTTGACAGGTCCCTCAGGTTGAAGATGTAGTGGAATTTTGAGGGTGTGGCTGGCAGATCTTTGATAATGTTGTTGTAGAGTTCCAGTGTACAGAACGTGACTTTGTCACAAACCTTCTTTATGGCATCTTCAAATAGCTAAAATATATTTAATTAAGTTTTAGAAGTAATGAAAAACGTAGTGAGAACTCTCAGTGGAGTGCAGACACTTACTCTGGTGTGGCCTTTGATAATGGACGAATAGATGAGGTGGAGAGATTCCATTGTTGGAAAGGGAATGCTGAAGACACTGAAGAGCGAGGTGAAGCGTGTATCGACCTCATTCCTCCCACCTCCTGCCTTTCCCATGGCAGCAATAAAGCCAAGGTCCTTCAGGATTTTGTAGTTAAGTTCCTTTTCTCTGTCATACAGACCTCCTCTGTCCAACAGCAGCTTCAGGAGAGCAATAGGCTGTTGTGTACCATAACTGTCCACCTGAAAATGCATTACAAACATTGAAATACACCGGAACTATCATCACAGCAAAGGAAACAAGATTAACTGGGAGCTTGAAACAGGTACTTTTGGCATGTTCATATCATCAATAAAGACCAAAAGTCTCTTTCCCATCGGAGGACCATAGGTGTCTTTCGTCCTTTTTTCCACATTTGCCTCCAGATTTCTTTGGAGATCTAAGGACGTTGTTCTGGATGAGAAGTTGATGGTGAGAGGAATCTATAAAAAGATATTTGGACAAGATGATTTAATAATTTTTTAGTTTCTTTGTTTAACAATTTCTTAAGCTCAGAATAGAATATGTATACAAATATAACTATGGATAGTATAAATTTAAATACCACAGGATTACAAATGGCTTTTACAATAGCTCCATGTTCATACCTACACCAAATCACACAGGTCATCATCACAGCATTAGAGAAAATACAATTCTAATCTTAAGAGCTCGCACTAACACACATAACAAAATCAACCAAATTAATAAAAATTAGTTATTTCTTTACTGAATAATATCTCACTTTTGTGGTTTGGCCACTTATGAATGATGCTGAAATCTCTTGTAGGTAAAATTTTTTAAAAATCCCATTTCAAGTATAAAATTGAAGTTGGCCAGATACTATTTACCACATTTTGGAAAGATAACAGAAAATAATGACCAGGTTAGATGTACGATAGAGTCATATTCTCAAAAAGCATCCTGTCATTCCTCAAAATGGCTAAAACAAGCACAGTTTCAATGTAAGTTTCAAAATGTAAATTTCGAAATAAAATAGGAAAAATGTTTAAATGGTAAATTGTTTCTCAAGCACTGAACCTCAAATATATAACATGATTTGTCCCACTTAAAATTACTTTTGAATCTGCATTAACGTTCTTCAGGAAGTTATAGATTGTGGCAGTTTTCGAAGTCCCAGACTCTCCAACCAGAAGCACTGGTCTTTTTATTTTCACCATCTGTTCCACAATCCAACTGGCTCTTGTGGTGTCAACAGTTGGCACTATGGGACAAACAGAGCATAAATAAATCAAGTGTAGATAAAGCATAGATATAAATATATGCATTTGTGTAAATCTGTGGTTGTTGTCCAGCTGCTGTCCAGTTACCTAAGATATCTGCAAACTTCATTTCAGGGTTGTGAATATATTTGGCAACCAAGGAACTCCAAGGAACCCACTTCATTTTGGTCCCATCAAAATGGAAGTCATACAGAGTAGGGAGATATCCTGTATGAAGGCATTTTGGTTTTAATGAGCATACATCACATGTTCACCCATTCTACACCTTCGTAGAAAGTGCACTGTGTTGAGGTGTTTGATCCCTCTTATCCATATTCTCTTCTACACAACATGACATACTGCCTATTTTCAAATAAAATGCAAGCCATAAAAACACACACTGTTGACAGTAAATGTCCGTTTCATCATCATTTCTGGACAAATTCTTGCTTTTTACCTGGGATCTCACCAGGCCCAGCCAGAGCTGCCTCATCATGCACGGGGGTTAAGCAGGAAATTTTTTTGATGAATTCGTCAAACTTGATCCTACCACTCCCCATCAACGTGGAACCCAGTGAGCAGTACAATGCTTCCAGGAAGTAGCACTCAAGTACCTCAGCGTTATTGTTCTCATTCTCAAGCAGAGCATCAAGCGTCAAGCATAACTGAGTGACCTTAACGCATGACCAAAACATACACAATTAATTAAAGCATTTGTAGCATTGGAAAGTTAACCTTTTTCTGCTTAAATACACCAGTGCAAGTACTGAAACGTATTTGAAGATCTGGAGTGAATGAATGACCTACCATATTCAGATCTGTCTGAGGGACAACAGTCTCCAGTTTCTGATCCTGCTTGCCATCAACAATGCCATCTACAATCATGTCAATAGAGCTGTGCACATATTTCTCAAATAGTCTGGTAAGATTCTCTTGCTCCTAAAAAACAGACATTGTCCAGATATCAAATCAAAAACAAGATCAATTATCATGCATATGATAAATCAAATCATACATGTATTTTCCAACACCTTTTCAGGTCTGTTGTTCACCCATCTTTGCCAGAATGGGGTGTATCGTATGTTCTTGGGGTCAACAAAAACCATCCCACATCTTGAAACAGTTGCAGGGGAAGCATACTGAAGATCTCCAACCTGCAAAGGCAAAGTTCTATCACGATATCTACAATATTTTTTTTGTTTGTATAATGCAGGGAAAAGTTTTATGTTTACGATTCAAAATGAAGACAGAACCTCAAATAGCAGTGCACAGTGACCCTGTAAACGGATCCGTTCCCCATTGGCTAGAGTGAGAAGCCTGTTGTCATCCATGACGGAGTTCATATTCTCAACCCACAACGCATCCACATCTCCATCAAACAGGATGTACCTGTGAGTCAAAATGAGTTCTTATTGTAATATTTCACAGGATATTCCTCTCATGTTGTGTTAATAGCATGTGGCATGTTTCATCTTGTACCTTCTTTCTTTTTTGTCAGTAGGCTTGTTAATTTCACGGAAGATGTTGGATAAAATCCCATCAGTCCAGTCTCGAGTGTCAGGGTCAAGAACTCCATAAAGTTCAATTACACTCATGGCTTTGGGGTTGAGGGGATATAACTTGGTATGCAGTCCCAATCTGATTAAAGCATATTCAAGATCATGTCAAGATAAGATCGAGGATGTGGAAAAATAACAATGTGAGCTGACACTCACTTGGTCTGAGCTTGACATAATGTGTTTATCACAACAGATTTCCCTCCACCTGTTGGGCCCACAATCATAATAGTGTGCCTGGTCATCATCGTCTCATACATCTGAACCACTTTATCCACCTACCAAGAAAGAATAGTGACCAATCACCATCTCAACATTTCCATGAATTCCATAGTTAAATTATTTGTCAGTAAAAACTAATTATTTTTCATTAAACTTTATAAGAAACCCTGTGTCGAAGTTTCAAAGTCTGGTATCTAAGCTGCAGATGAAACACCTGGATAGGCAGAATGATGTATTTGTTTTCTTCTAGGGACTGCTCCACAGCACCATTGAAGTCAGGATAATGAACACGAGGGCAGTCCAGTCCAGGGAACAGATCTGAGATCAGTCCAAGAAACAAGGGAACATCCTCAAAGACAAACTTTGGCAGATTCATGTCTCTCAGGGCTCGCATCAATACCACATCCTGTTGAGAGGAAAGAAAGATTTACAGTGACCAAGTCAATTAAAAAGTTTTAAGACTGTTATATAGGTGAAGTTCTTCAGAAGGGACTGAATAAGGGTAATCAAATCAGAGAGAGCGGATCTTTACTTCACTGAGGTCTGGTGAGCCTCTCTTCAACTCTCCTGCCATCACCAGCACAGACTTCAGAGCACGTAGTCCAAAATCGTAATGAGACTGCTTGGACAGCTGCTCACGAGCCAGCTTATAGAGCACTGTCATCTTCTTTGCCAGCACCTAACATTAACAGTTTTGAGGAAACAAGATCACACAACAGCTGGCTCTACTGATGGACATTCAAAAGTTAATGTAAAATTATCATGAATCTCTTCCAGTTGTTTAACAATGTGAAACTACCACTTTAAATCAGTCGAGTAATGTATTGTCCGTATTGTTTAATCATTATAAAAATATCAAATAAAATAGTAATAATATAGTATTTTGTGTTTATTACCTTGGCCAACAGGAAGCCTTCAGAGAACAGCATTATCTCACAAATCTGCTGCAGATCAGGTACAATGACAACCACTGGCCTGAAGAGGGCTTTGACTGATTCTGGCAGCTCCGTACGTCCTGCATAACCGGGGTTCATTGTGATAAAAATCCCCATTCGGTCATCTAGACCGATCTCTTGACCTTCAAACTGTACATAATATGCATAATTAATAAATTAAAAAGAATAAACAGAGATGCTATCACATCAACATGAATAATGCTTCTGTGAACAGGCAGAAATAGCATTTTATCATGTCACAGTGGGTTGTTCTTGAATGTGGATAAAAAAAGACGTTACGGTACATAACCACCATACAGCAAAATTACCTGAAACCTTTTAAGGTGTAAAATCAGTGCATTGCGTATAGTCTGGATTTTAGAAGAAATAACTGATAATACAGAGGCCTCGATTCGGTTAAACTCATCAAAGCAGCCCCAAGCTCCACACTGGGCAAGTCCAGAGAAAATCTTCCCCACAGCCTGGCCACAAAGAGAAAAGAGGTTATACAAAGCAGGTAACAAGTGACAGGTCTAGATTTCACTGAAAAAAAGATCTTCAGAACAGACATTTTTCAGTGCTTGTGTCTGAAGTGTAAGCTCCTTACCGTGCAGTCCATCCCTTCACCGCAGTTTGTTACCATACAGAGCAGACCTAGAGCTTTGGCCAAATCTTTGGTGGACTCTGTCTTTCCAGTACCAGCAGGTCCAGCTGGAGCTCCACCCAAGTACATGGAGAGGGCCTAAATAGGGCATTAAAGATGTCTTGCTTAAAAAACTATCTCAATTTGAAATCTCTCCATTTTTATTTATGATTGAAAAACAATAAAGCGTTGTGAACCTGTGTAAGTGTTAGGTAGATTCGGTCTGTCAGTGGGGTGATAACCAATCGACCATTCAACCCCATGTATTCGTAGCCATAATTGAAATGAGCACTGCATTGCCGTACATATAAGTCATCATTTTCCTTGACCCAGTAGAATCTCAGCTGGCTTTCCCACTCAAATTCACGTGCATCCATTATACTGCAGAGAGACTGAAATATTTATGCTATTCTTCATTTTCTAAAGACATAAAATGAAAACCTTTAATGAATTCACCTGTTGTTCCGTAACTTGTCCACAATGTCTCTCATATGGACGTCAATGATAAGCACAGTGTTGATCTTCCGCCTGTCATTTTTACTCATAGGTTGAGTAATTCGTGTGACAAGGTCCTCTATCTGCTGGCGCATCTTGTCAGCATAGCTTCTCAGTGCATGCTTTTCTCCCTTTTTGACTCTTTGAAAGACATCTTCTACCTCCCAGGTCCACCACACCTGATTTGAAGCCAGCACAACCATGCCCTGGTACAAAAACATCCATTCCACCCTGAAAAGCATGAGAATGACAAATATAATGTGCTCATTGTTACACACTGGTACATGAAAAACAGCCAAGTGCTTCTCTTTGTATTTACACCCACCTATTCCTGTCTTCACAATAGCGGAATATTGCCTCCTTAGTGATAAGTCTGTTAGTCCGTTTCATCTCCAGAAGTACTTCCAACATCCACTCTTCTGCTCTCCCCTCCACTGGGATGGGATTCCTAAACTCCATTATTTCGCCCTCAGCTGACACCATGGCTCCAACTGCCATCTCCCCACCGCTTTCCATATCAAATCTTAGAGATGCAATGTTGTCATACATCTAATAAATATCAAAGCAAGAAAAAAATAATCAAAGTGGATTTCATAAAAATGATGAACTATAAAAGTGAGGGTTCTATATTTTTCCAGCAAAAAACCTTGATCATGTGTTCTTGGACACAGGCAGGGTCGCTACTCCCGAGAATGCTGAGCAGTTCATCATCAGAGATGAAGAAGAAGCGCGGGAATGCATTTCGCTTGGAGTCCAGGTAATGATTAAGACTCTTTTGGCACTTCTCCAAACCATTACTCAGGTTTTGTAGATCTGACAGCCGGTTAGGAACCAGGCAGCACCGCTTAATGTTTGGGTCCCTCACTGTGTCATTCATTATCTGCACAAAAATCAGGCTTCGTCAATTCAGCTAGCATATTTAGCTTTGTCAGGCTACTGTAATAACAGAGCTCACTTTTTTAAAGTTCTTGTCAATAACATCAAACTTCTTCGCTTCCTCTGGCATTTGTGAGCGAACGTCTCCACCGCAAAATATGCTCTCCAGGTACATCCATTTTCTTTGCACCAGCAACCATACCTGTGCAATTACAATGTTATCAAGTATGTTTGATGATTTGCAACAGTTTGGTGTCAATATTGTTTTTCACTTACCTCTATACTTTCACTAATTAGAGACAGATCTTTTTCCAATTGCTGTATAGTGCCAAGGAAAGGACCAACAAAACGGCTGCCAGCCATGCTTTGTAAGTTCATGACATCATTGTCCACATTCTGTAGAACTTCATCCATGGCTCCCAGAATAGAAACTTGTTCTTGTGTGCTTTTGCAATACGGCTGCTCAGTGAAATTCATCTTTTCCCAGGTATCTATCACTTCCTTGACTCCCTGAAATCACATGCATAAAAATAGACAAACATGGATTTGTAACTAAATCATGTATACATTTTCTATTGGACTGACCACCAACTTGTATTTGATCCTTCAGAAATAATCAATTAACAGGAAAACTTGCCTTCTCAATGCTTAGTTCTTTCACTGCAGAGGTGACAATTTCACCAATGACATTTGCATATTTGTAGAGTTCAATGGCAAACATGTTCTCCAGAGTAAAGCTGTCTGGGTCAACCTCAAAGCTAGTGCCTGTTCTGTCCATCAGCTGTTTCCAGTGCCTGAAACATAGAGATATGTTAATGTTAATCTGACAACATGAACAAATCATGAATGTACAATCCTCTGATCAGATCTACATAATCCATCCTGTGCAAAGCTAAACTAATAAAACAAATGTAAAAAAAATTGAGATGGAAAGAAGAAAATTTCAAACCATCAAACTTAGTTTTCAATGTTTTATGTCAATGATTTATTCTTGGTAGAACCCATTATCAGTTTTTGCACTAACCTGTCTCGAAGGGCCTCATTCTTTAAATCCAACAGCAAAGGCAACGATTCTCTAAACTCTTTCATGCGTGCATCAAGAAAAAAGGCCACAGGCAAGGTCCGAACTTCTTTGGGCAGTTGTCTCAAGCTTTTGATGAATCCAGCTATGCCGTCCTGTAGTAGCGGAACATCTACATCCACCCACAAAGTCTGAGACCACTTTGCTTTTGCATCCTGAAAGATGTTACAAACAAAAAAGTTATTGAAGACGCTTCGATATCTAGAAATCACGTAATATATCCTGGCAATTTCAAACTGTGACAGACAGCCACCATATCCTACCTTCTGAGCTCTATAAACCTCATATATGCGTCTCAAGCCCCCCATGTCTTTTTGAACCTGGATCATCTCTGGGTACGTGGCGAGTGAAATGTCCAAAAGCTTCTGGGAATTACTGAGCTCCTGCCCTTCTGCCAATACGTCAGCAAGCTCTGCCTCATATTTTTCCACAAGGCTCAGTCCTGAAATATCAAAATTAAAAATACACTTAATATTTAAATTTACAAAATGGTCACTGAAATTATATCTACAGAAACATCCATGTACCTTTTTCTAAGTCATCTCCTACAGCTCCAGGACCATGCAAGTTGAAGCCTTCAGCAAAGATGGACAAATCTTGCTTAAACACTTTGATTTTTTCCTCCGTAATCTTGTGTAACAATGACAAGAGAGGCAAAGTTTGTTCTGTAAATGCACATTTCTAAAAGATAAATACTTCAAGAAATAAATTCCATTTATATAGATTGTGTTAGGCTTCCATGTCTTACCACGCTAAATGATTTCTTGACATCTGTAAGACTTCGATCTACTTTTCTAGATTCATTTAACAGGTCACTCCATGTCTGGGCAATATCTGCCACCGACTTAAACTCATCCTCTCCAACCTTGAGGACAAAGGGCGCATACAGTTTAATATGTGAAAAGATTCAAACAATAGAATTTTCTGAGTGACAAAAATGTTACATTTAACAAAGTACCTCCACTTTGTAAATGGTAAGTGTTCTGTATCTTTCTTGGATGTCAGAAAATCTCAGTTCCACATCTAAGGACATATCCCTGATGTCTGAGATGGCATCAAGAATAGATTTAAGTTCTTCAAAAGAGTCAGGGCTCTGCTCTAGCTTGTTAGATAGCCGCTGTTGTTAAAGAAAATTACAAGTAAGTACAAGTAAGTAAAAAATAAAACATTTTCATCATCTAAAACACTGTTATATGATTCACACCTTGAACTCCTCTGTCAAGTTCAAGAGGTCGTCTTTAGCAAACTTGATGAGTGAGCTGCCCAGTGAACCGATCCAGGACTCAACCATCTCCTGTATTGTCTTAGCCAATGGCTCCAGGTTTAGATGGATGATGTGCCGAGTCTCACAGAGAGGCTCCTGCATCACCTCTTCTTTAACATTTGAAAAAATCTGTAGCTGCTCATCGTACATGACAAAGGATGGGTTTTTGGCTGCAAACTTTTCAATGACAGATGTTTTGTTATTTTCCCAAAGAGGCTGATAGCGGTACCAGTGGCGTAGGTATTCATCCACAGAGCGTAGCAGCTGCTGGATGTTCTGGGACACTGCCGTGGTATTCTCAATCAGCTGTGCATGATGCCACACATCACTGAGGAACGTAAATGTCACCAGCTCATCTTCGCCTTCTGCGTGTTGAGGTGGGCACTCAATGCAGGTTCCACGCATCCAACGTGGAAATTGCTGACAAAAAATAAGTTATGGACTCATTGATACATGTATTAAAATGCACTGTCAAAACCACACACACAAACAAGACAACAGTGATAATCTCACCTCGGTGCTCTCAATACAGTCTTTCATGCACTGCATTAATAATCCACATATCTCTTTTTTTTTAGGCTGCAACACAATCTTAGGGGCAGACAGGATGGCATCAATTTGAAAAAGAGCAGTATTTCCCATCAGCGCGGTGTTGAAGGCCTTAATGTTGCTTTATGCGAAAGCCAATGCGAGAAATGGTACAATTTCAGTAACTACATAACAAAAAGTAGTCACAAAATAACTCCCAAAATAGTTAGCGGCAAAGGCCCGAAATTAAGGCGAATACCTGATAAGCATCTTTACGAGGGAGTCTAGAACCTTCCGCTCCCAGTATATGTAGTAATTTGCCATACACGAGGCTTTGCCACTGCTGGTTTCCATGATCAAATGTTCCGTCTTGGTGATGAGTAAACCAATTTCAGTATACTTACCTCTCAGCAAGGCCACGGTTTTGACCCTCTCTCCATCAATGTGTTCACAAAACTCCTTGACACCTTGACAACATTCCAAATCAAATCAATAATAATGCTCTTGAATTCCTTTTTTAAATAATCAAACAAGACAACAGTGATAATCCTCAGGACAGTATCTTTGAGGATTCTACCTGGTAAGTCGCGTGATTCATCTGGAAGTTGATATACAAATAAATTGGCCATCACCATAGACTGCAACCTGGATTCAATGTCACTCTCATTGTTGCGAATCTGATTGACCACAGTCTCAAACTTAGAGACGGCCTGGAATCCTTTTCTGATGAAGTCGGCTATCCCTAAAACCAACCATATATGATATTCAATACTACAGACCACATTTGTTTATCAGAGCACAAGTCTGTGTATATCATGTTACACAGATAATTCAGCTTTAGTTGCCAGTGTACCCAAGGCGCTCCAGTTGAGTCTTTTGCATCCGAAAATCATGTGCTTTCTCACTGGTTCTATTTGTGGTGCAAGCATAGAGAGATGTTCCCCACTCAGGTTAGCAGTCACGGAGTGATAGCGATTGATTAGTTTGTTCAGATCGTAAATATATCTAAAACCAAGGATGACACAGGTAAAAACATTAAACAGTGGTTTTAACAATCAACATAAAACACTGTATTAGTGAGTACCATCACCTTAGGAATTTGTCCTCTTGTAGAGCCACATTTTGAGCCATTTCTGGCACAGGGTAGTCCAGCCATGCAAGGCGCTTTGTCTCAGATATGACCTCCATGATTTCTGCACCAGAGTTAACAGCGTATCGCGGAGGTCTTTTTGGACCTTCACTTGGTGGAACAGCCTAATATATATATATGACAAAAAGAAAGAAAAAAATAATTATTATTTGAGAAGATTTTGTATTGTATTGTAAGTTTATCTGCGACAAAATATTTCCAATGTTAGTGACTTTAAGTAAATAAATAGTAAAAGATCCATACCGTATCCTGGTTTTGAATAGTAGACAACACGGTTCTTTTTATTAGCAGCGTCAAGTGGCTGTCTGTCTTATTCAACCAGACTTTGTGCGTCTGTATCTGATAGTCCCTAATCTGCCCTGCAATTTTTAGATACTTATCTTTGGCCTAGAGGGAATACAGAAAAATACGTTATAAGATAGCCTCCCACACTATTTTGAGGACAATTAAGGACGCCAAAGCAGTAGTGAAACAGTGAAAACACTTACCGCTTTGATTTGTTCACTTTCAAGCATCTCTGGAACTTTCAGAAACGGAAGGATGGTCTGTTTGATGTGGTGCAAAATAACTCCAGCCCATCGGATGGCTCCTGCTACTGGAGGCTCACCAATACTCAGTGGGGGATTATCCTTTTCTGCTTTAAAGACTTCACTTATGCTGTCAACCTACAACAAGAACACAAATTCACAAATTTCATCGACAAATCTCAATTAAAACCAGTGCAAAGGTTAACTTCAAGGTTGACTGTAGACCAATAATCGAATCATTTGAATTAGTTAGTGAGACACGGCACGGTGGTGTGGTGGTTAGCACCATCACCTCACAGCAAGAGGGTTTTGTGTGGAGTTTGCATGTTCTCCCTGTGTCCGTGTGAGTTCTCTCCAGGTTCTCCAGCTTCCTCCCACAGTCCAAAAACCTGCATGTAAGGTTGATTGGACATTCCAATTTGCCCTTAGGAGTGAGTGTGAGTGGTTGTTCGTCATTGTGTGTCTCTGTGTGACCCTGCGATGGACTGCCTGACAGACCAGGGTGCCCCCCCCCCCTCTCGCCCATTGAGTACTGGGATAAGCTCCACATCCCCTGCGACCCCATTTGGGAATAAGCGGTTACGACAATGGATGGACGGACAGTTAGTAAGATCGGAACATTCTAATATTTACCGCCAAAACTCAAATGCATTTAACATTGCACTGACAATAATTCCAATTTAAGGCCACAATTAATCTTCTTTTTATGATTTCCCAACACTTTACCTCTTTGCAGTACTGGGTTAGGATGTCATCAAACTTTGTCATCAAATGGTTGCTGATGGCCTCTCTGGAGCGGATTTCTTTGAATTTCAGCAGCATATCAAAGGCAGTAGCTGAGGAGGGCAGTGTCTTAAAAGACAGATCAAGGCAACTGATGGCCTCTTCCTCAACTGCCTTAACAAACGCATACCAAAAAAATGAATGAATGAATCAGCTTCACATAAATGTGATAACAGACAATTATGCAACTACTTTTAAAGAGCTTTAAATTGTATTGTAATACTCAATTTAGACAGTTTAAAACCCACCTGAAGTGCAGAATCAAAGTCTTGCATAATCTTTCTCCAGCTGCTCATCTTAGAGATGCTAAAAGGGTTGAAACTGACCTCTTCAATGGGCATAACTAAACTGTCCACTCTGCTCAGAACGTCATCGATGTATTTGACACCTTTTAGTTCTGGGATAGCGATGTTGTGAAAGTCCTCCAAAACCTGAACAATATAAATCCGGGAGAGTTGTTTGTAACAACTGAGTTTTATTTATTGACGTAAAGGCTCAGTCATTGTGTGAGTTGCACAATGAAAATGTACACTTACCTGAAAGACTTTGCATAAGTCCTGACAGACAGAGGCCATATAGTCAGTCCTTTCAAACAACCTCTTCTGATCAAATTCCCAGCGTGGAGCTCTGCTTAATTTTTCAATTTCAGCACGATTCTCCATATAGGATAGTTTCCACTGTTCCAGGACCTGCTTAGCCCCGTGGGCCTTGGACTTTCCTACCTCCCTATTCTCTCTGTTTAGGGCACAATATTTAGCTAGTTATATTCAACATATTAAACAACCTGCGTTAAAAATTCCCTCTGATTAATTGCTGATCATAACGAGCCTTATACAATAGAATTATGAATTAAGATTTTCATATCCATGAAATTCAAACATACTTAAATAGCATTTGAATATCAATTCCAAGAACCACACGCTGACACAGCTGCCAGGCAATACGCTCCATCAGTGGGATCATGCGCTCATTTGTGTTATAGTGGCGAGAAATTATCCAAACAATCTGTAAGCTCTCCATCAGTGGGGGGATGTTGTCCAGGATTGCAGCAAAACTTTCTCCAGTAGCCAGATTCTGCAACAGACAATATTAACATTGATAGGTGATAGAGGGAACAAGACAACAAAAAACAGTTATTTGCTAATACCACGTCCAGGTGGCCCTGAATGTACAGAAAAGAGAGAAAGACTGGGAAGAACTATCAGCAATAATGCATTTAAGAAGGGCAGCTCACCATGAAGTGCCTTTCCAGTGTCTTAAGGAAGCGTATATTATCTTCAGACTCCAAACGGTATTTAGTTAGTCTAGCAACCGTCCTTTCAAGGGTGGGAACCATGCCAGAGTTTGTTTTGGTCATCACCTCCAAGATCTTCTCCACCACAGGTTGCTTAAGTTGCTTACTCAGAGCACTGAGGACAGAACCACGCCCCTGCCAGAGTGCTATCTCAGCCAAAGGCCCAGGTGCCTGGTGGAAGGATTTCATATATTAAAGTGAATGTTTTAGAACACTGCGCTTCAATAATAATCTAAACTACACTGTTTCTCTCCCTCTCCATGTGGAGGAGAGGACCCCAACCTGTGGCTCTTTCTTTTGCTGTTCCTCAATAACAATGGTAATCTGAGTCTGCCAGTTCCGCACACACTGCTCCAGCTTCTCCACCAACTCTGGGTTAGAAATCAGCACATCCACCTCTGGCTCCAGGTCCAGCTCAGGGATGTGGAGAGCAGCCTCATCTAGATAAAAGAGCCTGAATTCAGACTGGAGTCCACATTTTGAACTTGGTGATGATTTCCCTTCTTCAATAAAACAAAACAAGCCATTCCCTGGCTCTTCAAATAAAAAAACAAACCTTCAGTTTGAAACTGTTGCAGAGCATCATTGACCTGTGACAAAAACTTATGTGCCCTGTTGAGCAACTCATCACGAAGAAAGATCTGTCCCTTTGGCTTCACTGGACCTCTCTCTTCAGTGTCTTTACTTATTTGTTCCTGGGGGGCGATTTCCTTGCTTTGATCGCTTACCTCAGAACTAGCCATCTGGCGGGCAGTGAACAGGGGTATGTAAACCTGATGAGAGAAACACAGAGATGGTGACTGCTATTGATTTGAAAATGTAGTTATTTATTGAATTATTTATTTTAACTCACATTGACCAGGCGGTTCTGAAGCACTTGAAGAGGATGCCCACTATACATGCCAAAGTCAAATAGACTGGACATAATCCTTGTGGCCTCATTCATGTCCACTGGTTTGGTAACTGTCTCTATTAAAAAGATACATAACATCTCGATTAGCAAGACAGGACAAAGTATGAGTCATGTAATGATAGGGAAAAGTCATCTCACCTTTTGTATCTCTGATGAAGTACAAGGTACGAGATTTGAGAAATCTCTCTTGGTGCTCATTCACTGCAACATGAAGCTCAGTGTGATAGACCACTTTGACCTCAGTCCTCTATAAGCACCAAACCAAGGATTAGTTTTAAAAAAATGGCAATCGCCAACTCTGTCACCAATATCAGATTTTTTTTTTTTTATAAAAGAAAAAGTCAGTTTGTTCTCACATAGTTGACGGTTTTCTCATTCATGCAGTCAGGGTTAGAGGCAACCTCTGTCTCACTTAGTGTCAAGGACATTTGGTCGGGATCCGAACAGCGTCCATCTCCCCACTCTGAAGAAGCTGGGTGGTGGACAGACACATGCATCAAAGTCTGTTAATTTGGTTAATGTGTGTATACAAAAGGATTAGTGTTTCCAGTTGTCACATTGACACTTTTTGGAGCTTTGGCCCATGGGAGGCAGTGGCATTTCCAGATGAATGCTAACACATGGCTACTTAATTGAAGGGTTTTATGGTGAACTGTATTTAAAGACAATACCAGCTGTTTTATACCACTTAATTTTTCTAACACTGTTTTTTTTCTTTTTAATCCATACCATCTTATTTAAAGGTGGGGTTGTTTGTTGTAATAAATGGAAAACAAGAAAAATCACAGACAGAAGTGAACAGAAAATAACCACTACGTTTTTCCACAGGAAAGAAAAGTGGCAAAACAGCAGAGACGCACAGTAACAGCCCTAATGTCTTGTGACCTGTTTAGATGGTGAATGGTCTCTGTGTGTGAAAGCATGAGGAAGAATTAAGGCCTCAAAGAGGATCTTGTTCATGGAGGGTTTGGTCGACCTCTCCATTAACGTCCTATGGAAAGAGGCCTGGTTCAAACAAAGCTGAATATTAAAAAAATACACACCACAGATCTGTAAGAAAAGACATGGTGGAAAAAAACAATAATTTTGAAGAATGAATGAGTCTGGTTCAGTGTGGCAGGGTTTGGGGTTAAAGATTGTGGACATCTTTCTGTGTTCAGAGGAGCTGACCTGTCTGCTGGCTCTTCTGAACACATAAACATTCAATCCCGTAGAAATCCAAATATGCATGATTTTTTATTTGTGATATTTCAAAATTGGTTTTAAAGCTGAGACAGACACAGATTACAGAGTGTACTGTGACTTGTTTTTATTGTCTCGGGATGTATTAGAATTGGTAGGTTTTGTAGACCTGAAAGTTTCTGAACGTTTCTTTTTTCATTTCGATGAATTCATGAATGTGTTGAAAAGAATTATATACATAGATATTTTAAAACACTTACCAATTGGAACTTTAATTTCAATTTCTTTCTCCCTAATGTTTTTGTAAAATAGAATATATGTTGGTGAGTCTTCAGGGACAACGTCCAGGAACTGGATGATTTTCCTTTTTCCTTCTCCACCGTCACGACTCAGTAGTTCGTCGAAACATTCGGGACATTTTGACAAATTGAAGCCAGCGGATACTCTTTGTCGGATCCACTCCACCCGTAGGTCGTTGTGTACCATTTCCTCCATTATTTTCACTGCTTAGTATCAGGACAAATAAACATGGTAAAGTTATTTTCCCCGTAACTCAATAGAAACTCTTGAAGCTGGCCTAATGTCGGACTGTGGTCAAGAGCGTCTTCTTGTTTCCTTGGCAACAAACAACGTCGGATGTCACGTGGCCAAAGAGTCGAGAGAAAAGTGCGGTCGTTTGGGGAAAACTACGATGGAATTACACAACAAGAAACAAACAAACATGTAACTAAATAAAGATGTTATGGCTTTTCTACTACACAACTGCATGTACTGTAAGGAAAATGCAATAATGAGCCTGAAATGGAAAAATAGAAATCTCAAATATACTTTTATTGACATTAAGAATAAATGGATTTTCTTGGGAGCTATAGCATGGAGTGGTAGTTACTGCAACAACAAAAAAAACAATTATTTTAATTAAATGAAGGGAACAATAAACTATCACAATCAGAAAACCCATTTAATCTTGGTATGATTGATTAACATAACTTCAATCAATGAAACAGGAGTCCGTTTCAAGCAGGCTGTTAAGGTAGTCCTGGTATGCATTAAGCGTGCCTAACCGTTCAGTTATTAGAGACACAGAATGGAAGAAAACATATCACCCAATATACAGATGTAAATGGCAGGGACTAGAATGATGCAATATTTGCATTTTGTTTAAGGGGCTAGATTGCTGCCCATATCATTATAGATGAGAGGCAGTATTTTTATGTAGCAAATGATGATATCAGTGTGAAAGTGCAGACAATGAATAACAAGAGAGATGACATTTCAGCCTGATTCCCTTTGTAAAAAAAACCCAACACCAAATTCTTCCCCCTTTAGGATTCAAGGCAAACAGGCTGCCACTCTGAATATGGATGCAGGATCATTTAAACCAACAGGCTCAGACTCACTGAGCCGAGTAAACAAATTGATAAATGAGATGTTTCTATCCGTAGCAAGTGGAAGGAAAGGCAGCACTGTGAATAAACAAGTGTTAAAAACACTCCATTAATATTCATCTGTAATTCTGATACATTATTTCATAATAAATTAAAAAAATAATTCTGTAAAACTATATACATTTTATCACACCCCTGCCCAGGCACTACACCACACCAAAATGTCAAATATCCTTTGCTGGGTCTCGGTACTATAAAGGAGAAACACCATCAAGTTTGAGGAATGGTACAACATGCCCTCATGTTGCTGCACTTCTGAAAAGCTGTCCACCAAAGAAAAGCTGAGCAAAAAACTATTTAACTGCATTCTGCTCTTGCTTCAGTAATTAGAAACTAGATCTGACACAACAGAAGTTCAGTGAAAACACTAAAAGTCACATTAATATCATAAACTTATTATGAAGAAAAACTAATTAATATAAAACTAAACTGATTTGACAAAATGTTGCTGATCTTACCCTAAAATACACTGCAATAACATTTGATTCTCCAAATTATCTGCAGTGAGGTATACTTATCCTGAAGAGAATTACCCTTTATTATGCAAACCAGCAATACAAACCAACATGTCTGGTGTTTGTTCTTCATACTGTTGGCAAGGCAGTGTGATTGAGTTCAAAGTTTGTGAAACTTAAAAAATAACATCTTCACATACCAGTCATTTAGCAAGGAGAAGGCAAGAAGGCAACAAATCCCAAAACCTCCATTTAACATCTGAAAGAAGTCTTTATGAGCACTGAATCCTGCTGGCTTCTTTTGGCTGCATTTAACAGCTGTGAGTGTGATTTAATCGGTCCTTCACAGTAAGCCATCATGTTCGAAGCTGGAGGGCAGGAGAGAGAAAGAGAAGGGGCAAAACTTGATCCCGGTTCCACTGTAGAATTTGTTTTGAAACTCCACCCTGGGGGAGGAGAAAACAGGCTGTTACGAACAATAAAACACCAGGACTATTGAAGGCATTGTCACAGTGGGAGTTAAACTATTTACCAGTGCAGTCGGAGGGCATGAAGGAAGGCAGATAGACCTTCCATTACCAGCAGAATGGACACAGTGAGAACAGCAAACAGTCCAAATACCGGAACCAGGAATAAAACCCCAAGAGTGGTGTCCATCCGTAGCCCCACTCTCATCACCATGGCCCATAGAACCTCTGATAGCTCTGTGAAACAGCAAAAAGGGCTCATCTATGGTCAATTTGGAGACTTCAACCTGATACCAGCAAAAGGACCGTTTGAATCTGAGAACATTTCTAAGATGTCATTTGAGAGAAACAATCTTCTACTTTGACGTCTTATCAAAATTAACTTACATTTTACGAGCACTGCAGAAAAAAAAGCAATGAAAAACAATCCAAAGCTCCCTCTGGACTGCATCATACTCACGGGCATGTGCCAGGCTCAGAGCCCAAAGCCTCAGGTAGGAGGCTGTGTTGGAGACGCAGCCCAGGCAGTACTCTATAGTGTGGATGGCCTGATGAAGGAACTCGTCTGCAAAGTCAAACTACACCAAAAAAAACACAACATCACAGCCCGAAACCAGAAAGCTCCAGTGGGGTAATTATCCAGTTGTTTTGATTCTCAGACCTCCTCCGAGCAGCGCTCTCCACTGCTGGACAGATCACTGTGGCTGCTGCCCTCCTCCATGTCATCCCCCCTCAGCAGATAGAGCTCCTCTTCACTGCCTCGCCGCACACGCTCATAACCCTGAGAACCAACACACAAACTAGATGTATTTCCATACTTCCAATCAGAGCTAGAAGTGAATATTTACATAATGCACACCATGATGTAGTTTTTTTTATTGGATAAAATAATAACATCAACATAGACCAAAAATGTGACTCTAGTTACCACTTATATGACAATCATGGACTTTGCTCAGAACTACTACTGAGCCCACGTCTCAGGCCCTTACCCTGTACATTCCCAGGCGGCGTCCTCCATTGTGAAGCCAGTAAAGGTAGACTGGTTTACCCAGCAGTAACACAGGTACAGAGAGAACTGCAATGACCACCAGAAATACCTGAAGGCCGGTCTGGAAGAGGGAAAAAAAACAACACTTAGCACCAACTGTTGGCTCTCGGTGAAAACTGTACCTTGATGAAAATCAGGCTGGATCGAAGGGCATCCCGCTTCCCACCTGTCCTGGGTAGAGGGGAGGCACTCCGTCACCCTGCATGAGGAACATGTTTATGAAGTGGATGAGAATGCTCGGGGCATGTCTGGAGTCTTTAGCAGAGTAGACCAGCCACTTGTAGAATATCATGAACACCAAGTAGCCAAATAAACACAACAGGAACAGGAGTTCGGGCAGGAATACCAGGTAAAGATTGTACTTCTTCCTGAAGTATCTGTTGTGATAAGAAGAAAACAGACCATTAAAATAAGAAAATGCTAAAGTTAGAGAAACAAACAAAATACAATCACACAACAAACTAATACTTACAGGTGATTGTAGGTGCTAAGAATGACACCAAAGCTCATGTGAATGATGCCTAAAATCACAGACATTTTCATCTTATACGAGTTTAGGAATGTTAGGCGGTTGGATGCCAAGTTCCAGATCTTTGAAACAGAGAGGAAAATGTCATTGATAAATGCGTGTCTGAACTCTGTAGAATAATCTTTTTTGAACACAACTGGTTGAATTGATCTAGTGTGTTTGTACAAAGCAGTATGATGCATATATGATGAATAGCACAGCACAAAATCCTGTACTCACTGGATCGATTCCCAGAGGATACGGTCCTCTGAAAACTCCTGTAACATTTGGGTCCAGAGTAAGAAGATGATTTCCACGGATGACCTCATTCCTGTTTAGGCACAAATAAAACCATGAATGCCCGTGTTACATGTATGACTTCATCCTAATGAGAACAAGCTATTCATTTTTTTCAGATGTCTGGAAGATAAGATTTTAATCCCTCTTAGTTCAGCATCATTTATAAACTACTACTACTAGTAGTAGAGGGAATTCTGGAGATTGACAGAACACTGGAAAATAAGCTGTTAGGAAATACAGAGACACAGTGATGTCTGATTCTGTAGATAAGAAACAAAGTGTCTATATACACATATCATTGCTACAGTGCATTAGGCAAAATTCCTTCTTGTCATTAGATACTCACGTCCACACTCCAGCTTTGAACATGGCATTCACACTCCATCCAGACCCAAATATATTAAGAGACTTTGAGAAACAGTCATTGTATATGAGACCAGTGTATATGGAGAAGAGGCCCATCATAAGAATGATATAGCGCCCTTCAAAGAAGGTGTTCCAGATCTGCAATGACACATCATACACACTACTTCAGACACTCTGAATCACTTTCTTAGGCTTTTAATTAGCTTCAGAGGACTGGCTCACCTCGTTCCTGGTGTTTTTGAGTTTGCGGTTGTTCTCGTACAGCACCATCCATAAAGCAAAGACACTCATTATGATTCCGTGACCCAGGTCCCCAAACATCACAGCAAACAGAAATGGGAAGGTAATGATTGTGAATGGAGCTAAAAATGAGAAAGGACAAAAGAAGAAATTAACATTAAAAAATGCTAAATAAATAAACAAGCCATTCACAAATTGGACAGTTTTTTTGTGCTCTTGGCCCTACAGTTGATGTAATTCTGCTGTGTGTGGGATCGATAAACTTCAAAATAAGCACATGGTTTTTAAGTTCAGACACTCTAAACAGAAAATGAAAAAAGGGCCTGTGTAAATGCTGCAGACAGAAAAAGATATTAATTTTTAAATCAGTCAATCAAAATGCAGACAGTCATGCTCACGCACCGGGGTTCACCTCCCTGTAGGTTCCCACTCCATAAGCATCTACAATGTTCTGGAATCCAGCAGTAAACTTGTTGGTCCTTATCAGAGTGGGGGGAGTGTCAGTGGTGGGGATGCGATTGACGAAGGAAGGAACTGTGGCTCCACTTTTCCTCTGGAATAATGTGAAATGTGAGAAGTTGTCATGTGAGAGGGTTACAGGAAATTCACCCCAAAAGCGACATATTGTCCCTTTGTGGGGGGGGTAGTTCACATATGAGATGTAGCTTTAGCAATAGTCTTTTGTTCTTTGCAGCATTTCTTTGTATTCTATATACCAAAATAAAATTCTACTGCCATTTATAAAGAATGAACAACAACTATTCACATCTAAAGAAACATCTGCTGTATTTTTTCAGTGCAATATAAAAAACACATTTCACAGTTGTTGATGAGATGATTCTAAAACCAGGTTCTTCAATAACAGAAAGAGATTCCGTGAGGGCAACTTTGAGGAGGGCAACTTTGAGGTGGGTTTCCTTACCGATCCTTCCTCCAGGGCTCTTCTCAGTTTGGGGATGTCACTGACCGGACACCAAACCTCTGCGATCAGGCACTTATTAGTCACATCAAAACTGCACAAGTTCAGAATGTAGTAGATGGCCTTCATTTTCTTGACCTGGACGACCCAGGTGTAGACAGATTCTGATGCCTTAATCAGGACCTGTTTCAGGTAATCCTCCGTCCTCAGAAGTACCTGGACACAGATGTTAAAACAATCTCACAAATAGTTAAACCTTGACATCAGATTTTTTTTTTTTGTTTTTTTTTAAATCAATGCTTTATACAGAGAGTGATTCAACAAAGAATGTGCATGAATAACAAAAAAAATACCCAGAACGATAAGATACAGGCCCGAAAAAGAAGGATTAAGTAGTCGAATATGAATTGGCAAAAAAACTGTTTGAGTCCAACTAAAGTCTCATGCTGATCATGTGCTACAGAGGTGAACCGGACTTATTTTTTATCCTTGGCACATTAAGCTGCCGATGATTTCACGGTGTACTGCTCATCTGAAATGCAACTGATTGTATCAACTGCCACTAGGTCAACCAGGTTAATCTTTTAGAAAACACATCAGCCATTTAATTTTGCACTTTGAACAGAAAAGAACACATCAGAGGACAAATCTTACTCAATGTGTTCCTCAGAAAGTTTCACTTTAAACTTTTTTAATGAAAATAATTACCCTGCACACCTCTGTTTTTTAAGTGATGTCACTTAACTGTCTGTTCAAAGTAAGATGACACCCAACAATCAAACACTTGCATAACCAAATACTGTAAAAAGAAAAAGTTCAAGTTAAACATACTGTGTGCAGATCCTGAATACGAGTTCTCAGTCCCTCCACAACATCATTCCTCTCCTCATTGCTGCTGGGATATGGATACAAGTGACAGTGGTAGCTATGGAACGAAAAGTACAACACTCACAAACTAAAACTTCTGGAACAAAGACAAAAAAAATCTAAAAGTGTCAACCTGGAGTGTACTGTGTGCAAATATTACCAGTCGCAGATCTTCTTCACTTTCTGTCCAATCTGATCTCCCCAGTAAGAGATGAGGAACACCACAGTCTTCACAGGCTCACCCTGCAGTCAGACAAAAGTGTGAGGAGGACATCAGAGCTTTAATGTCCTCAAGGAAAAAAAAGTTTCAAGCCCCAGTTGAGCTTTGCAGTCATCCGCATGGTTTCCTTTTAAACTATATATTCCAAAGAAATCTAAATTCAGCTACTTATTTGTTTTTTATGTAAAACTCAAGAGGCTCCATGTCATAGTAAAGAAAGATTTACAACTGAAATGACATTAGATTTGTTGTGAAAACTCTTTAGACAGGAATCAGCAGCAGAAACGAACCGATTGTTCTACCACATTTAAAAAAAAAAAAAAGGATGTTCCCTTATTTTCCATCATTGAGGGCATGTCTGTTATTTCATTAGTGATCCCTTCCCCCTTACAAGCCTGACCCCAACTCAAGCAGAGGAAATCGATAATCAGATTATTGCTGTCTGTCTGAATGGACGCGTCAAGAGAAACGATTGAATGCGAGGACAACCCAGAACCAAAGTACCTCACATCAGATTATTTTAGTCCTTCATTTGAAGGGAATTATTTACTTTTGTAAATTCAATTGGCCATATTGACAACTTTCCGGTCATTTTTGTTTCAATACTCTGTTCTCTATTGTTTCCTCTTACATGAAGCTAAAAATAAATATTGAATAAACAATAATAATCAGAATACATTGTAGGCATTTTACAGCAAAATATTTCAAATGTTCCAATCTAGACTTAATTTTAATAAAATTCTTGTCCTTCTTTTCACACTTTAAGAGGCAAAAAAAGGTTTATTGAAAATGTGTCAAGCTGTTGTGCATCACAAAGAATATCAATATAAAAGGGTAGTTTTTTGTCTTTTTTTGTCTTTACAAACAGTGTTGGCTGTGAGGAACCTACTGTGTCAGGGTCTTCCAGATACTCCTCAACCTCAGCGTAGCTGAGGATGGTGAAGCCTTTGCATACTCTCCACAGCATCCGTTCAAATGCCTCAATTTTGGCCCTCTGAATAAGCCCAGAAATGAAACTGAAAGAGTAAAAAGAACAAGCATTGGCTTGAAAGATGTTAACTTGATATATATAATATACACTAAGTTCACAAAAGATGTTTAAGGACATTATTCTTTCATTCCTTAGACCTTTGATGTTGTTTTAGTAATCAAATCTCCAAATTAAACATAATAGTACATCTAGCACAATTTTCTAATAGTTTCATAAAGGACCCTTTTAATTCATGCTTCATTTCATACTAGAACAAAAGCTTTAAATCATTAATATGACATTTTAATGAATGTATCAGTCCAGTTAATTGTCACTAAAAACATAATTCTGAAAAGGATTTTTTTTCTGATGAAGAATGGCAGTCATGATGGTGGATACAATAGATTCAGTAAGACCCTGATCTACAGCTCACCACCTCTTAGCAGCCATTAAGAACTGATTGAAAATATAAATGATATCAAATGAGCTGTTTTGTGAGCAGGTTCTGAAAATAAGCATTTATTTATATAAGCATTTAAAAAGCATTTATAAAGTTATCCATTTGATCTTTGAGTCTCCACGGTCTGTCAAAACTCTGATTCAGGTCTGATCTGTTTGCCACACCACACTGTTCCTCTCTGAGTGTGAAACCTCTTGGCAGCATGTTCTGTTTGAGCAACAAGATTTTGCATAGCAGCTAGAGTCTTGTTTTGGCTAGAAAGGCTTTCTAATGGCTGATTTTCCCTTTTTCTGTGTTCTATGAATAGAGTCTTGCATATGTAAAAAAAAAAAAAAAAGCGATGCCAGACAGAACTATCTAAAACCGTGTGAAAAAGTAATCTGAACCTATTGATATCTGCATCAACAACAATCTAAGATGAATCATGCTCCAAACACTCCGACATAGCTGTGCTCACCCTAATTTGGCTCCGAGCCGCTGCATGCTGTTGTAGTCCATCGCTGTGTCCTTCTCTAGGAAAGGGAACTCCTCATAGTGTACTTGTAGCGGCTCCCTCTAAAAGTCAACACAAGATGCAGGGAGAAAATCAAATCAGACATCAGACTCTTGTGCCATGTTGAGAAAAAAATACATTAGTTCAGCTGAATTACACACCTCAGCAGTTCTCTGTACAAAGTTGCGTGAGATGCGCAGCATGTGTGTGTACTCTGTCAGCTCCAGAAGATTCTTCTGCAGTCTCTCCTTATTCCTGGTCACTTCACCTAATTCCACCTCGAGTCTCTGCAGCTGCTCCTGTGAGGTAATGTTTGTGTTAAAAAACAAATAACCTGGCAAAGGTATTACGGAAAAGCAATGAACTTACCATTATAGCAATGACGTTCTTGGGTGAAGGAGCCGCAGGGTTCACATCTCTATCTGGCAGGTGAATATCTGCTTTTTTTATTTCCCTCAGAAGGTATACTGTTAACAACGACAGCAAAAGTGTCCAAGCCACAAAATTAGTGTCTAAGAGCGTCTCCAGATTGTGCATTTTTACCTCCCAAATCTAATAATCTAGCTTTAGATAACCAAGAAGCTGTAGTTCATTGGACCAATTCTACTACCAGCTGACATTTCTCATGACTGCGGGGCCACTGGCTTTCAATTCATCTGTCAGACGCTTCTCTGTGGCCTGGTGTATTCATACACTTCTACATTCCCTCTGTTGCTGGATATTTGGCCTGTGAGGGTCAGACTAGTTTATCCTTACCAAGGATCCTCTCCATCTCTTCACATTTTTTTATCTCATTGACGTGTTTTCGCTGGAAGACGTTAACACTCGGGTTGAGCTGAAACAAGTGTAAAACAACCAATCAGGCAGGCAGTGAAATATTAAATGTACTACTCATCCAATCTCTGTAAAAAAAAAAATGAATAAAAAGACTGATATGTAAATTTTTCACTTTAAGAACGAATTAACTGAACAGTCAGTATTTGCATGTAGCGGTTCTAACACATCAACAGCAGATATACAATATTCATGACTTTATTTTCTCTTATTATGTTCATTCAGCAGTGGTACATGCACGATATTCACAATTCTTTCTCACAATCACCCCTTTTTTTTTATCTAAAAATAATTTTAAGTTTCCTTAACAGTATTCCAAACTGGTGGTCAGTTCATTCCTAAAACAAATCATGAAATATTACAATGTACTGACAAGACTGAAATGATTACTGTATTATTAAGGTATTCACACGTTTGAATTTATTAATGCATAATTACTTAATAATAAACATGAATGTATACACACGTTTGAACTAGTGTTATTTTTTTATGGTGCACCAATGAATGAGTTTTAATCTGATGTATATTATTAAAAAAACAATTTAATTATATATGTTAAATAAAAGTCTGACATAAACGGTAAACACGCTGAGATTTTATATATGTTTATCAAGGTTATGAGTACTTTAAAATTTAGTCAAAATCAACCAATGGCTAGAAATATGACTGTTTACATCACTGTACTGACTAGGAATATTACAATTTAACGTCTAAAACCGATCCACTGGCGGACTTACGTCTCTGAACTCCACCAGCCCCAGTTCTCCCAGTTCACTGATGCAGTCGTATGCTGAGCCAGACTGCAGAAACAACTGGGCCAGACACATCTCTTCACCTCTGAGTAGAGTGCCCATCTTGACAGTAAGGTATGTTATTCCTTCGCCAACCGGGTAAATAGCAAAACAACTGCTACGGCTTCTATGGAGGTTTTGTCAACGGTTGCCAGTCAAGTCCTTCCTTGTCCTTTCATGACATGGCTCAAGTGATAATACGGTATCTGACTTACAAAACCTTGGCTTTGCATAGCTATCTTCCCAGTAGCAGGGACTGTTCCTTTAGCTAGCTAACTGGTTAGCCGGTGAACTGTGCTCCTGATTCTTGGATAAGTAGTTTCCTCAAAACTGAATCTGAAAATACAGCGTAAAACAGCATCAAAATCGCAAGCGTAGCTCCTCGCAATGAGCCGAGCCAAGTCTGCTCATAGTTTATAAAGTTTTGGATGTGTGCTTGCCATCTTTGAATTCTCCACGTCACTTGACTTCGCACTGTTGAATGTGAGCAACGTCCGCAGGAGCGAGAGTCCATTTAGACCAATAACCTGCGCCCCCTGGAGTCTGCGCAGTGTGAACTTCCGTACGTTTAAAGCCGCAACGCTACGTGAAGGCGATAACGCAAAATTGGAAGAGGGCACCTATACAGTAGGTCCTACTATGTGGACCTTAAAAAAAAGGAATGGCGACCGAAATAGTCAGCTTGTAAAAGATCTACACCAGAAGTCAAACGTTAGAATACATCTACTTATTCAAAATAGGTTAAAAAAAATGTGCTCAAACTTTTAATTTGGACTGTAACTGGATTTCTATCTATCAAAATGTTAAAAATCATCTCCTCCAATGCATCTCATGGTGGTTATTTTCCCACTCTGCACCACTTACTTTATGGAAAGACAAACATTTTATATGTGAATTCCCAGTTTGTGAAAATATATCTTCTTTTAACCAAACTATTAACAGACAAGAGACAGTTTCAAACCCTTGGAGCCAAAGGAAAAAAAAAGTTATGTCTGTTTCCATCTAAAGGAACGATTAACTGAACCTCTGATCTGAGTTGTTCAGTTGGATTAAGTATTGGGTCATTATGTTCCAGGTGTGTCTATTTCCAGCTCATAACTATGTAACAAAATAATAATAAATTAGTAAATGTTGTTTACTTGTACTATTTGACAGAAGTGTAGGCAGTTGTAGCTGCTTTAAAGTGATTTAGTGAACCTTAAGGCCATGACCTTCTAAAGAGTCACAAGACATATCTGACGACTTGTAACTTGATTAATGTGACAATAAAGGAAGAACAAAAACTAAAGCTCAGCCTCACAAATGTTTGATTCTTGTCTGACTTTCTTTTTGTTTTTTTGTAAAGATTATTGGTTAATTCAATTATTCGAATTTGAGTTATTTGAATTAAGAGCTGAATGGAGGGGAAAAAAACTATTTGACAGATCTGTTAACACTCCCAGATGTATAAATCATGTGACAGATCCCTACCCAGGCATTGCTTTGTGTAGTGGTTCACAAATCAAATAGAGTCCAAAGCACTTGTTCATGCTTAACTCTATATTTGTGTTCTAGACTAATACTTGTTGTTTAGAAACACATATTGCAGGTTGTTGAAAATACTAAAACATCCACCGTAAAATAACCAAATATAACAAATATGAAAAATAAACCAAACAAACTAAAAAATAACAGAATGAGCTGGCAGCAGATGGTGCTGGAGCCAGACTGGAGGACCTTTAAGGAGTTCTAATAAAAAAAAACTATGTTCTCAGTAATGAATAGAAAAAAATAGCTTTATTACAAAATAGTGTACCGATAAACTATTCTCATTCACAAAAACAAACCATTTACATTTAACAGACTACTAATTATTTACACCCTGGTTCTCCATGTGAGTGTCATCCTTCTCAGAGGTTTTAGAGCGCAGCACTGTGCCACACCTGCCTGATTTGCCTCCATGGAGTTCCCAGAATTGAGGCAGTGATAAAGAAGAAAACCAAGATCATGCCCTTGGCCAGCGATTGAGAATATGGCTCTCCTGTGAAAGAAAAAAGTAAAACCAATCATGATGTCTTAAATGAATGGGGAAAAGCAAAACGATGGAGCAAGTCTGAGCATGCATGGTAGTCGATGCCTGTCCTGATGACCCTGACTGGGATGAAACGGGTATCGAGACTGCATGGAGCCATGCCAGAATCGGGCACCAATGCTTACCTGTGTAATATTTGGTGAAGGGAAAAGCGAGCTCGGGCCAGCAGACATCATTCCGGTTACAGTCATACTCTGTAAAGTTGATCTGAAACCTACAAGGTAAGAAGCCAAAACAAAATGTCAGTCTTTGTGCCAATATCTGGTGGGTAGCTCAAACATGAGTCTATTCACCTGACCTCATACTTCTCCATGTGAGAGCAGTATCAGTGTTAAATCACCTGGTTTTTGGTGGTCCCACGTTGACGGGTATGTCAATAAAGGTGACAGAGGAAGTGATGGGGAACAACTGAGTCTCCTCACATGAAGTGAAATCACCCCCTCCACAGTCCAGGGCCCAGGTGGACAGGCTGTAACTGAAAACCCCCAGAGAACAGGGACATTTATACAAGCTGAATATGAGACCTTCTAACCAACAGCTGCTAATTAAACATGCAATCTGAATCTCTTTGACTACACATCTAATACACACCCAATTTGCAAGTCAAGAATTTCCCTTTGAGGAGAGCCATCCACCAGGCTGGTGATAAGACTCCAAACATAGATATACTGGTGTGATGGAATGCCAGCACAGGCCCCTGAAGTGCCTTCCACAGTTGTGCTCGAGTTCAGCGTCACAGCTAAAACCAATACAGAAGCACGTATGACACATGTACAGCACAAATTGTGTCCCTCTCATTTATCAAAATTAAAAGAAACTAGTTCAATGTGCCATCTACTTACTGCTTATGTTAAGCCAGTCTGTCAGTGTGGATGATTCTGGGTTTCCTTTCTTCGCCACATACGTTGGTATAATCAAAGCTGCCTGTAAGTTTGAAACCGTTTCTCTAAAAAGACAAAAGCAATGCATCTGAAAAACAATTAAAAACACGCACAGTGTATTTACAAAAAGTATATGATGTAGATCAAACTTGAACTTGCTGACCTCAGGAGATCACACTGAAATAAATCCTGTTGTCTGACAGGTAGCAGGCACCCTGATGTTGAATTTTCTCCAAATAAAATTGCTCGCTTCTCAGCAGTGGAACAGAGTCCATCTTGAACTGCAGATTATACAAAAGTGAAGACAAACCGAAGAAAACTTACTAATGAAAAAAGTTAAGAAAGGGATATCAAAGTTGCTGATGTCTGATAGGTTATTCCACATACTTTATAATCTGAATTTCATTCAAACATTTCTAGAAAGTTTATAATGTGTCAAGATTTCAGAAATGCATTGTGGTCCAAAACCAGTCAACGACATTCTTACCTGGTTTCCAAAGATTGACTGTCGTCCTCTCTATCGAGTCTGAGTTATTGTCCATGATTCCGGCATGGACAGGTCTTCCCACCTGATAACCTGCCATTTCAAAGGCTTTTGTTATTTATGTACTAAAAAGTGGAACTACTTCTTCCCATTACTTTTTTTTCTTGCCCTTACCTGGGTTACCTGAGTTGGCCTCAGCCATTTGTTCTCCATTAAGAAAAACAGCAGAATATCTTGTAGTTAATACCACTGATTAGCAAAGAGAAGAGCAAAAATTTGTCAAAACCACATGAAACATGTTTATTGACTTCAGTAAATGATAAACCAAGTAATTGGAAGGCATTGCAGGCGCTTACCACTAGCATTTGAGATGATGGTCCCAACAGTGCGGGTCAGTGTGATACCTGTGATGCCGTTTCCTTTCCAAAAGATTTTGTAATCCAGTGCCAAGGTCACATTTTCGCATTCAAGCCTCCCAGCTTAAGTTAAATATGAATATGTTTCAACATCAGTCTGACAGGCAGTTTAAGCTGCTTTAGTAATGATGTAAAACAAGTACTAAATGATTTAATAAAACTGTACCTGCAGAGACTCCAGCACTGCTTCCAGAAATGACCTGACTCAAGTCAGTGTCGATGACATCGGTTACAACCACCACAACATCCCCTGAAAAAAATAACGATAAAAAGAGGGAATAAGCTAAAATCACATTCTGAGGAAAGTTGCAAAGTTTCAGAACATATTTAAGTAACAGGGTAAAACTCACCTCCTCGGCCATTCATCACTTGAGCACTCAAATCTGCTGGTCGTGTTTGAAAGGGAGCTCCTACTGGACAGGAACTTAGCAGAGTTACACACTCCACTTTGAAGTTTTTCAAAAACGCCACAGGAGCACCATTTACGCACTGCCCAAGGACCCTCTGTGGACCAAAAACACACAACACACCTTAGCCGTTACATCTCTGACTACACACACTGAAAAATGTATCCAGTAGCTGAAACATAATAAAATCTGCATAACCAACCTGAGGAATACTGAAGTACTGGTTACTTGAGGTCATGATCGGACTTCCCTGAACATAAAGATTGACTGGGACTGGAGCTGACAATGTTGGTCTTTGAAAGGATGGACCAGACCTCGGGGATCTAACCGTATGAACGATTAATAAATATGATGAATCATTGAATGAAATTTGCTGGATAAGAAAAATATGTAATATTTTCTCACATTGTGTCACCGTTGTAAAAAAGACCAAGATAGGGGTTGTTTTCAGGTGGGGAATGGACGCATAGAAATGGAAACCAGTCTGGGGAGTTTTCGGCAGACTGCTGGGAGCACTGATAGTCTGGAGCAGGAGAGACCTGCCCACCGAAGGGCCCGAGTAGGCAGAGAGATGCAAACAGCTTCACGTCCTCACTGGAGCAGTCCTGTTAGAACACACGCACGGAAAGTGCATACACACACAAACACAGCAGGTAATGCTCAAACTGTCCCAGTTGGAATTCTGTGGGAATCAGGATTGTAAATACCTTATCACAGCAGCAGCGTACGTCACACACTCTGAGTGTCAGATCACAGGGACAAGAGCCCAGCGGCTGGTACACTTGGTTCGGAATGACCGTTTTATTATCTGAAATAGACAGAATCACTTACATATCCACAAATATGTAACGCTGAAGTTTCATGCATCCCTACTTTAGAAGCACATTCTGACAGGACGCCAATCTGTAAGTTACTTTGAATTACCATGTCCGCTGTTATTAGGAAAGAGCCGGGCGTGTATGGTGGCCTGGATCAGCAGAGATGCCAGAGGGGAGCCGCCAACACAGGCAGACACCTGGAGGGCCTCCAGCACACACAGTTTCTCTGAACAGCAGTCACCGGCTGTGTCGTTCTCACCACAAATACGCATACTCTGATTCAATCTCAGCTGAACGCGAACAGCGTCCTGAAACGAGAAATGAACCAGGCTGGAGCGTGAACCATCAACAGGTTTTATGACCTTAAGTGATTGGGTCTTTGCATCTTCCTGATCTATTCTAACCATAGGTCAAGATCACCATCAGGTTGGATTTTACCTTTCCCATCTGTTCCCCTGTGAGGATCCACCGTGTTGGCTCTGTCACGCATGATGGAGGACCTACTGTGCCTGTGACAGACAACCACAACCATCAACCACCTAATCTGCTTTTTTTTTGTAACCAAAAAAAGATGGCCAAATCCTCATCCACAAAAACAGACGATAATCGATCCCGGAACGGCCCAACAACTAATCGCTTATCTCGGGTAGCTTTTACCTGTTGTGTTGGATGGAGAAACCGTCCTCAGCTCCAGGGAGACGTCCGAGATGTTTCCGAGCAGAAAGGCGCTGACAGCAGGTCCAGTTGTGGTCAGAAAAGACGGCTGGAACACTATCGAACAAAACACATACCCGTTTCTGTTCAAATACACTGAACCGTAAAGCTTTTTACCTTAAAAGCTGACAGGCACATCTCAGATTTGAGACAGATGGAAACACCAGAGCCTCAATAATCGGAGCACAAGGTGCAAAACATAAGTCTTACCGACAACTTTCTGAGAATGAGCCAAATAAATCCAGAGCAATACGCATGTGACTTGGTGATAAACAGAGCCCGAACGGAAGGTTTCCAACACATTAGCCATCTGCTGCTTACAGAGCCGACATTTTTTTGCAAACTGGCTGTGATGTCTTGGCAACGCTGGCGTCAACAACTCGCTGCTAGGACAGATTCTTGCTCTGTGGAGGCACAAAACCTTCCTTAAAGCAGCAGCGACCTCTTCTGGCCAAGAACGGTACACGCACCGACTGTCGTTTACCGCATTAAGTCATTAAAAATGGACGAAAAATATTTCTTTACTTAAAATCCACGACTGAAGATATAACCTTGCCGGAGTATAGAATCTGAATATGTTTTCAACGGCAAAATATTTTTTTTTGCGGTTCTTCAACTGTGTGTTTTAGCCGCCAGGCGGCAGCGTGTCGCTATTGCCCACTCAGCCTAGCGGAAGTAGAGGTTTGGCACGTGACCACCAGCCAACGTGCTCTCCGTAAAGTGTCAACATTGAGCTTTTTATACTTTGAAATTGAAATAAGTATGGCCTTCGAAACCCTGTTAACAAGTCTGCAGAATTGTGCCATCTCCGAAAGCCAAACACCTGGAAATGTCAGCCAAACTCTCAAGCTGTTCTATGAAAAACTGTCCGAATCGTCCAGGTGGGTGCTGAATTGTTGCTCAGTCTCTCTCTGTGGCTTTGATGAATCCTGTGTCTGCAGGACGTTTGATAAGATACGATGAGTTTTTCTGCTCTAAAACAGGAACAACGTGAAGAGATGTAAGGAACGCTGTTTGGAGGAAGCTGCTCAGCTCCTTAGACAGCTGTCAGAGGCCCAGCTTCGTGCTTTTGATGACAATCATCTCCTGCTCCTGGTCAAACTCCTCATATCCCTACAGCTGCAGATGGTCAGCATCTCCACAGCCTGTCGTAAAGTGGACCAGGTCAGCCTCACAGTGTCAGCTCACTGAACGGTGCTTGGCACAAAACACTCCCTGATGAAAACTTCCTCTTTGCTCAATAGATGTTACAACATTTGGCAAAGGCGGACCACTCGTTGGTTTTTAGAGAAACCTCTCACAGTTTGCAGTCCATAGCCCTCGGGGATCAGGTACAGAGCTGTGACTTCACCCACTGTTATGTTCCAAGTCTTTCAAAAGGCTTTTCGTATAACTTTGACCTGGTCCCTGTTTCAGATCCTGTCTTTGGAGGATTTGCAGAAAGGTTTGTGCTGGCCAAGGATGACCAGCAGTTTCATCGGTGCTATGTTAAAGTTTTATATATCTTTTTTTCCAACTCCTCTTAGCATGCATGTTGTTGGAAGACAGCGCTGTTGGTCGTGAGGTGTGGCGAGAATCCTGTGCGTCCATGCTGAATAAAGTCTCTGTGGCCTTCCCCGTTGTACTGGAACACGAATCCACGAGGGACGGACACATGTGTTATGTTACCGTCAAGGTGCGCGGAGCATGCATCGTGAACTGGAACCCGAAGCATCCGGTACGAACCTTCTGTGTGATCTTGGTGACTAACTTGAGAACTGTTGCTGTTGCAGATGTGTTTGCAAATATTCCAGCTGTTGTCTAAGGAAGTTGCTCCTCTTGTGTGGGAGGAGGAGCACAGGAGCCCAGCGGTGCTCCAGATCCTGCGGGCTCTCACGGACATAATATTTGGACAGGTTACTTTTTCATTCGAAAGTTAACGACCAGTCGTTCAAAGGTTTAGCATACGCTCTTGCAGCTGTTTCCCGTGTCCTTTCTTGCAGTGCTGCAACCGGGACACTCGTCTTTTGGCGGGCACTGCCGTGGCCATGCTGATCAGCACGGCGCCGGAGAGCAGAGCGGGGGGGGCCGCGGCCTGGAGTCTGCTGCAGTTTTCTCACACAGGTGTGCTAAGATGTTATAGTCTTGCAGAACAGGCTGATGAGACAGAAAAAATACGAAGATTTGAACGTCTTTCAGAAATGTGTGATCCAAAAATTTCCACTGGAAAGAAAATGGTTGTGGCAGAAATATGAAAAAAGAAATTCAAAGCTCTGCTTGATCTACAATCAATAAGAATTTGCACAAATGTGACCACACTGAGTCAGATAGAAGCATTTCCTCCAAAACCAGCACTCGAAGAGGGCTTCTTAAATAATCTACTCTGGACAGATGAGGTATTTTCATCCACAGTTATGGTAGTTGTGTTGAGTTCAGAGCAAATAAACCTTAAGTTCTAGGGTGTTGTTCTGGCTCTACGAATTTAAAGCTTGTTGTCTAAGATTTGTTTAGTAACTATGACCCAGCCCTTTTAACAGAGTAATGATGCTAACCATTGAAAATCTGCCAATATGCTCCTAGAAAATGGAGGTTTGGAGGGTAATGCTGTGATGTTAATCTATGTGAAATGCTGTGTTTGATAAAATACAAATTGTCAATACATATACAAAAAGATAAGTGCAAACAACATTTTAGAGAGTCTGATGGAAATGTCTGCTGAAAGCCAGCAGAGGTCACTAGTGATAAAGGGTCAACGCTAATATTTTCCATTGAGGACTTGCTGGTGTTTTTATTAGAGCAGTTGGTCTATATAAATCTACATGTGCACATTTGTTAAAAAGTCGAGCAGTCTCTCCATAACAAAACTTTGTTACACAGCTGTAATGTTTGTGCAGGAGATGGAATCTTTCCACACACAAAAAGAGAAAAAAAAAGTTAGACAAAAAAAAAAGAGAAGATTGTGCTGCAGATTCTACAAACGAATGTGAGCGTCTTGAGCTTTCTGCCTGAAGACCTGTTGTTCCTGTTGCTCCGCAGGGCCCTGGCTGCTGACTGTTGGTGCTCTGCAGGTGGAGTGCAGCCCTGTCAGAGAGGACGGGCTTGACCGGCTGGCTGTGATCAGGGGCCTCCTCACTTGCTGTCGGCCCAACGTCCTACTCAGTCCACACCATGCTGCCAAACAGGTAACTTTACTGGAGGCTTGCATTAGGATTTTGCTCTGGGCTGTTGTGTGTATGACAAACCCTCCTTTTGGCTCCGCTCAGACATGCTTACTGATGGAGGGTTTGTTTCCTCTGGTGTGTGCGCTGTGTGAGGAGAAGCTGGACTGTCACTACTTTGCGTTGGAGGGTGAGTGATGCCTAGGGTGTTTGCTCTGCCTGGGTGTGGGTGGGGGGTCATATTACCTGTTCAAACACAGCATGCTTTTTGCAGTGTTGACGCTGTGGCTGAAGAGAGTGAAGGAGTGCCAGTCGGAGCTCTGGCAGGTGACAGATGCCCGCCTTCTGCCTGACAACGGCAGCCTGCTGGGAAAGCTCCTTCACATCATCTGGACCGATGCAGAGAGTCCAGTGAGTCACTGAGCACCATAACATTCAAGTTACAAACACAAGGTGTTGTTTGACTTTGCCAAACATGAAGAATGTACAATAAAAAAGGGTTTGTGAGCTGTGTAAAGTTGTTTCTACACAGCCAAAAGAATACATACTACACTGCAAATATTGTAAACCTCCAGCTTTTTCTTATGTAGGAATACATAATTATTTGACACATGTGCAATACTACCATATAAGGCCCTCACGTCTGAGGGTTCAGAGGTACCCACACACTTAGCCACTAAAAGTTTCTCCGCTGTGAACCATTTAGAATAATTCATGTGTAAAATAGACTGGTGAGGAGACAGATAGATGAGAGTTCTCCCTCATGCTAAAAAATAAACGCACGTAAAGAAGCTATGTGTGAGGTTTGCCAGAAACAGCAGCTGGCTTGAGGAAAACTAGAGAATGACAACATGCCTGGCAGAGTGAGGGGCCCAACATTCCTGGACGACTGGAAAAAGGTCTGCATGGTGATTGAATGAATAAGAGAGGACTTCATGTCCAAAATCTCTGTGGTGAACCTCAAATACAGAAACGTTCATTTAGACTTCCCAGTAACGGCCAGGAAGAGTCAGCAGATGTGCTTCAGTGTCGTATGTTGAAAGAAATATTAGCCGCTATGGAAGACTGGCCTGGAAGAATGTAGATGTGGAGTAAAAAGACAACAGACTCGTCTCAACCATTTTTTTTAAAAGAGCTAAATCACACATGTAGATAACAGAATTTAGTGCTGCCTTCTTTCTTTTATGCACAATTTCCTAGAGCCTGCAAATGAAAGTTACCCCTTTTTTCTAAGAATTGACAGTCTGGACTGTGTATTGTTTGCCTAAAATAAAAATCACATCGTTTTCAAAGTTGTTTATTGACATTGGTTTCATGGTGTGTTGGCAGATGGAAGGAGTGCCTGAATATACCAGCAGTGTTTTTGTGCTGTTGTTGAGCCTCTATGAAAAGGACTGCGAGCACTTTGGGGACGCAGAGAAGACCCTCTATCCTACTCTGCTTCAGCGCTTGATGAAACTACCTTCGGAGGCCAAATCTAAATATAATCGCCTTTGTGCCCTACTGCCGTACCTGGACACTAACGAGGTTAGGATTTAAGCGTTAATACGCCCTTAATGGTGTTTTGTTAATGAGTCGTAACGAGTTAAATGCTTGTTTTTGTGCTTATGTGATCCATCAGGTGCTGGATCAATACGCTGAAATACCCAGTCATCTCCTTAAGTGCTTATCAACCAATCACCTGTCACCGTGTGGGTCAGAGCTCTATAAATGTCTGATCCAGCAGCAGAGGCGAGAGCTGTGTGGCGGCTCACTAAACTCGGCCTCGGAGCCGGACCTGGCTGCCCGCTGGGCCTGGCGCTGGCAGCCTGTCCTTCACAGCGCTCTGACGTCTGACGTGGCTCTCCTACAGAACAACAGCGCAACACACTTACTGCCCCACACCTTTCAGGTTTTCCCCTCTGCTCTGGACCCTCTGCTGGCCCCTTTGGACCCTAGCGTGCCGGGTCACCTCTGCGCCTGGGCCTGTGTCTGGAGCTCCTATCGAGCTGTGACCGGCCGCTCCCCCTGGGCTCACCAGGACAGCTCCACCTCTGACACGCTGCAGCTGGCTCTGGGGGCCGCCGACGACAAAACCCGCCTGGCAGCCCTCAGTCTGCTCTGCTGCAGTCCGAAAACCAAAGATAACCCCACCGCGCAGGAAACGGCCTTAATGAGGACGTTCATTCCTCTGAACTTGAACTGCGAGTCCTCGCCTTTTCGCCAGCATTTCCAGGCCGCAGTGAGGAGGTTTCTGGTCCGCATCAGAGATGGCTGCTTAGCTCACGTCAAAGGGCCGAAAGACAAAAAGAAAGGGGCTGCCGGCCATGCCGAGAGCGCGCAGTCTATGTTGGAGCAAGGAGTAGGTGAGAAAAGAGTGAGCTTAGGTCTGTTCTTATCTTAATGAGGTAAATCCACTGTGTTAGGGACCTTTTCAAAGCAACATCACAAAGAGATTAAACCCGAAAAGGCAGGTAGACTGTTTAGACTAGAAGCTGCCCAGAAAAGGTAGTGATACAGTAAATGGCAGAAACAGTTTAAATTCAAGAAATTATTAATTTTTATTTCCGTTTCTGCGCCTTGTAGGGTTTGTCGAGTGGCTCAGCGAACTTCCATTCAGCTATCTGGCTCCAGGACACAGCTTTCAGAGGAAGAAGACCGCTCTGTTGCTGCTGTCTGCCGTGCTGGAGACCTGCACAGACACCTGGAGCCCCGAAAAAAGGAAAGGACAGCCTCCAGGTCAGTGGTGGGGAAATGTAGGCAGAAAACAAGCTCAGTTATACAACCACATTAAGCACTCATACACACCTATGTGTCTGTTTATCGTCTCCTTTCAACGGCCAAATGTTTCAGATGTAATAATAAAGCAGCATATGTTATTTTCTGCAGCAAACATGGGGACTCTCATTGGTTATGCTAGACAAAGGGGACAGTGGAATTTCTTCAGCAGAACCAAACAGCTGGCTCTCATCAGCTGTTTGGAAGATTCTACAAATGAGGTAGGGTAGCCTAATCTTACCCTGTGCCTTCATTTTGTTGAAATCGGGGGAAAGTTCAGAGTATATATTTTAACCCTCAGATTCGGGAGCTCTCCACTGGATTGTTGTTGAGATTTTTTCCACCCAGCTTCCCGGGGGATATCGCCACGGCGCTGACCGCCCGAGCCCAGCAGCTCCTGTGCAGCCCCCGGGTGCAGGAGGCTCAGATGGGGGCCCTCATGGTGAAGGTGCTCCTCCAGAAGTAAGCCCGGCCTGCCCCTCACTGCTCTGTTTTACCTACCCGGGGCGGTTTGCAGTGATGAGCTGTCGCGCGTTGCTCTCCCCTGCAGAGGGAAGAACCCTGAAGCCCCCCGCACAGTGAGGGTCCTGCTCGAGGAACTGGAGGAGCACTATCGGACGGCCAAGGCAGACATGCTGCTGGCGGCCAGAACCAAACCCATACACGGTGAGGGCCCACACGCGACTCCCGCAACCACGCTAAGCTCCTGAAAATGTTTTTCCGTCATCTAAACGCTGCGTTTGGATCCTGCCGTAGGGGTGATCTGCGCCCTCCAGAGGTGCGTGCTGGAGTCCCCCCGCAGTGTGGCTGAAACGCTGGACGGCGGTTCGCTTGCTGAGCTGCTCAACCTGCTGGAGAGCATCTCCCTGCTGCTGCTCAGCGTTCTGTACGGCCACCCCGACGCATGCGCCGCCGAAAAGGGTAACAGAGCCACCGGCAGAAACGTGGAAAATGTATCCATATTTACCTGAGAGAACCATCCACCACTGCTCCCTTCTGCCTCAGATGCCCCGCCCTCCTTTTGCGATATGGGAAATGCCATCAGCTCCCTGATATCCCACGGGTCCGGAGGCGCCCAGGCAGATGGAGAGGAATGTGTCCTTCTGTCTGAGGAGCACAGTCTTCTTCTCACCTGCTGCTGGGTCTCCCTGAAGGTGAGGCCCTCACACCAGCACCATTTAGATGTGTGATTATATCAGACGACACTGTAGGAACATGGGAGATGTTTTAGGTTTTGGTTTGATAATAGCACAGTCTGTTTTTTCTCCTATTTTCTCCTCTTAGGAAATTGGAATTTTTTTAGGTTCTTTGGTCGAGAAACTCCTCACAGATTCCAAACACCTCAGCGGTTATCTTCTGACCAAACAGGACCTAATTAGGGTGTCAAAAGTATTCAAGAATATTCTTCTCAAGTGCCGTCACTGGGTAAGGTTTTAATGCCTGTTTTGTGGCGACGATCCTGGATTTCTTTGGTCCTTTATTGAAAGAAATATACTTTTCTTCAACCAGGGGGCAGTAGAGGGTTGCTGTGTGGGCTTCACCAAGTTCTGCGCTACCCTGTTGAGCAGCAGTGACCCAGAGCTTAAGGAAATTCCAGCCCAAATGCTTAAACAAGTAAGCAGTGCTTGTTTTTTTTTGTTTTTCTCGGACAAATAGAGTTTTGCTGCATTCCTCTGATGTTTCCTGAAGGGCTTAGAGGTGGTGCGGTGCCATCGCTCCACGTCTGTGACCCGGCGGGCTGCCGGGCTGCCCATGCTGATCCTGTGTGTGGTGTCAGCAGAGGAGGCCAGCAAATCACGGCCACTCTTAGCAATCAGTGTGCAAACGTTACTAGACACAGCCCAAACCCCTCTGGAGGAGAACTGGGACCAAACGCTGGACCTGCCCCAGGTGTGTAGGCGCCGCAGGAGCAACGCTGTAGCCAGAAGGAGAGATGTTTTCCTCACATTGGCCCCTCCCTTCCAGGTGTGTGCGGCTCACACTCTGCAGGCTCTGGTGCGGGGCTCAGGTCTGGGAGTCGCCGTCCTCCAGTTCGCACCCGCTGTGGCCATCTTGTCTCTCACGCTGCTCAGTTCTCCATGCTGGGCCATGAGGAATGCTGCTCTGCAGCTTTACAGTGAGACACAAACAGCCCTTTAATGGGGTTTTTGTTTTTTTACTTTAAGCCTTTGTTTGGGATGTGCAGTATAACTTTTTTGTAGTTGAGCATTATTCAATGAACTGTACTGACTTTCTCAAATAGATCAAATTTCATCTGTATTTAACTTAATTTAAAATGTATCAATTCACTGCTCTTTCAGAAGCAGAAAATGATTTATTTAGCTACAGATGAGCATAACATTTGACATTTTATACTTTTTCTAGGTTCTCTGTGCTCGCGAATGCTTGGCCAGCGGTCCAGTAGCGAGGAGTCTGGCCGCACCCAGCACAGCATGTCCCCCGCCGCCTTCTTTGTCCACTATCCTGGACTCCAGCCGTTCCTGCTCGGTGAGCTGAGGGACGCGGCACAGAACCTCCAGAGTCCAAGCAACGAGGGCAAGCTTCACCTTCAGCCAGCCCTCTACCCTGTCCTCACTCTGCTGGCCCAGCTCCAGCCCGGTGTCCAAGACTCAGCTGAGAGGTTACCGCTTCTCTTTTTAAGACCACCACACAGCTTTACTTTTTACCAAAGAGGCCACGTGTTGATTTTCCTCCTCATGTGTAATTCAGCTGCTTCAGCTGTGTCAGTGCGCTGAACTCCTCCTCGCAATCAGGCCTAGAATAGCTTTTAGAAAAGATGGATCCCCATGTTGAGTCTTGTTAATGACTTTTGTTTTCCCTCTGCCAGGACTCCATCGGACTTCCTGCCTCCCTTACTCCAGCTGGCGGCCAGTCCCATTTACAGTGTGAGAGTGATGGCCTCCAAGGCTCTGGTTGCCATGGCTCCCCCCCCGGAGTACATGAGCATCCTCATCAAACTGGCCGCTCAGCTGCCGGGTCCTCAGGACCGCTGCTGCCACAACCAGCTCCACGGGCAGCTGCTACAGATTAAAGCCGTTGTTGAAAGAACTCTGTGTGCAGACAGGTGAGACTTGAAACAGCATTTTTCCTCATTCGTCTGACACTTCCCAGTCTTTGAAATCTTTCGGCGCTTTCATCGGCAGGGCCTCTTCTGATGAGCTGCAGGAGGTGCTGGGCCGAGTCCACGCCTCGCTGTGGCTGCTGACCAAAGCTCAGCGCTGCCCTCTGGTCAGAGCAGTCTACCTCGGGGTGGTGGACACTCTGAGAAGACACTGCTCCCAAAGCTTCCTGTCACAGCTCAGTGATACACTCATGCTTGACCTGCAAAGCCCTCAGCACGGTCTCCAGGTGTGACATGCTGGAAAACATTTACTTTTTTATTTTAGATTGTTTTTGGTTGTGATGGTACTCGATAGCAAACAGGGAGATATAGTTTGCATGCTGCCGTGACTCAAACCAGAGACATTGCATTTGCATGCTATCCAATGGCCCTAAAACAACAACTGAATTATATGTTACACTATGCACACATTCTCTTTGGTATGAGTGTTCTTGCAATTCAAACTGTACGGATTTGGACTCGGTTGCTGAGCCATAGTTAATCTTAACTGCACCAAATGGGTTGACGTATAACAAATATATTAAAACAAGTGCTCCAAAAGTGTTACGGAACACTAAAACTTTCCACACAACACTCAGCCAACAACCATTAAGCCTCCCGTGCACAAAGGCAAACTCTCACACAAAATCGTTGTGTATTCGTCTGTGTGTCATGTAATTACTGGCAGGTGTGGCTTCTTTTGAAGCATGTGTTGCCACTTTTGCTAAAGAATAGCTCTCTGTGTATCAGTCAGCGACTTTATACATGACCTCTGGATCAAATAGTACACAGATGTTTCCATATTGCACCAAGCTTAGTTCTTGCAAAAAGAACAAGTTTGACAATTTTTGGCCTCATTGCCTCAGCATCCTGTTATTAGTTTCTTTAGACAGACAGACAATGAGGTAATCTTTCTAAATGAGTTACATTACGATTTTAGATCTCAGTTTAAAGAGACTTAAGTAAAAGATTTAAATCAATAAAGTTATTTGGTGCATTAATTGGTCATTTATCTCCATGTTGTTAATGTGCTTTAGTCTAATATTATGTTCTGATATGTGAGACAAATATAAATTGCATTTATAAGTAGAATGTTTTTATCGTTGATTACAAAACCCTGGCCTTTTACAAAAAAAAGAAAGGATGTTTTCTCAGTATGAATGGTTAACTCACTGTTGCACTTTGAGGAAACAGACGGGCAGCATTGAAGGTGTGATGATTTCCTGCTTGTTACTCAGTCATTGGGTTGATGTTACAACCTTTTGGGTGGGCAGGTGCTCTTGCATGACACACAGTTCAGTACTTAGATTGAAAGTCACAGCCAAAATCCTAAGAAACCATTTCAGTAGCTACAACTCTGACTCTTTCATCCCTAATCAGGATCTGAAGCAGCTGCTCATAACATTTCCTATTGAACCTTCAATTTTTTGGCTGTTGGTTCAAATGACATTTCACTGCACATTTTAATCTACATGATTGTGTATGTGACAAATAAAGATTAACTTATCATAATGATATTCCTCAACTAATAGCACTAGTTAAGCTATCTGTGCTACAATTAAAATGAAGTCTAACAGTCTAATACACCATCATGATACAACATGGCCTTCATGAACGAATGGATGCAATTTTTAATCATTTTGTAATAGGAAAGGATGTTGTGTCTGGCACTTTCAAGTTTCAAAACAGAGCTTTCATGATGACCATGAAATGTGAGTCTAGAAGTAGGTTTGTATTAAACACAAGAAAATGTATTTCCAATGCTTTATGTGTGTTTTCTCCACAGATTGGTTTGGCATCCTTCCAACAACAAGCCGTCCACTTCCTCTGCAGAGATAGAAAGTGTGCGGGAAAGATCTGGGACCGCTTCCCTGCTCTGAGTCCTGATGTGAGGCTGTGGCTGCTTGTGTGTGTGCTGGACGGGCGGGGTTTGGAGCACACCGGCCTGAAAGAAGTCATTCAAAGTGTCTTGCAGGTACAGTATGATTTGCTCACGTTACTTTGGCACAGGGACAACAAGATGAAAAAGACAGCACAACTCTTTCAAAACCAGTTGAGCGTCTCAAATGGTATAACGAACTTCTAACAAAACAAAGGATCCGGATCATTTGGAGGTAAAGCAGGGCTTAACTACTCAAGAGTAGTCTGGGAATACATTTATTTTTTTCCCTGCTGGGACTTGAAAGGGTGTGTCTGCAACAGAAGACACTTAAGTATAGTCAGACAGAATAAGTCACTTGTTGTTTCAGATAGAGGTCACAGTGTCCATTTAGATAAGGTGCATTATCCCTAGGACACCCAGTTGCTTTTTCATAGATATGTGCTGTTTTGTGTTTATCTCACTGCTTCAGCTTGATAAAATACGAGCAATATACATGCAGACTGTGGAGAAAAACAGGCTACTGTTTATTTGGCCTTTTGTTAGTTTTGTATAGCATATATTTATCCTTGTCTTTGTGTATCTGAATGACCACAGTCATGGTAATATGGAGTATATTTTATGTTGTATGTCCTCTTTGTTGACTATCGTTGGGGAGTTGATATACCACTATTAAAATCCTCTCTGTTTCCAGTTAAACCTGAAGGAGGCTTTATTGAGCCACAGTGTGGAGTACCGTACAACGTACCTCTCAGCTCTGTCGGCAGTAACAGCCAGAGGGAGCTCTCCTTTAGCTCAGCCTGCGCCGCTCTCGGCCCTCCCGGGTGAGCCTTTTCTGTCCGAGTGTCTCGATTTGTTGCTTACGGACCTGGAGGACCAGAGAGGAGGGCCAGACTTCCTCTCTCAGGCGCTGACTGCTGCCAGTCTTCTGCTCTCTCAGTTACCAGTCTCCAGGTTATTATACATGCTATTGGATTTCATCATTTAAGGCCCACTCTCGAGCACGTTACCCCTTTAGAATTACTTTTCCGTTTGTGTTTCACCACCAGCCTCAAGACCTCCTTCCTCCAGCGCTGGTGTGGCATTTTGGAAATTCAGCGGGTGCCAGATGTGTCAGAGGTTCTCAGGATGGCCTGTAGTGAAGCTCTTTGTGTGGCTGGAGTTCCACTTATGAGCAGCGGCCTGTCGGAAAACATCTCTCTGCCTGCCATTGGGATCCGGTAGGGAGGAAATGTCACCATGGTGCCTCTCTGTTAAGACACCCAGATTAAGGTCCTTTAAAGACGTCAAACCCTCTGCTTTAGGTTGATCAACACAGGCCTGTACCTGCTGCAGGACCAAAGTCAGCAGGTGAGGCTGAGAGCCGCCTGCTTCCCCTCTTCCCTCCTTCATGCCAGAGGAGGAGGACAGCAGAGGGGCGTTTATGTCATGCAGGTGAACCGGGCTCTCCCACTGCTCCTGGACCTGCTGCTGGAGCAGTTCTGGGACTCCCCCTGCACACTGGAGGTGCTGCTGTCCCACCTGCCCCGGCCTGACCTCAGATCTGTGCTCAGGGAAGCCTCGGGCGCACCGGGGTACGCCGCCTCCCCGAGTCTGCACGCAGTACCACCGGAGCAGCCTCCGCCCAGCTTTGCCTGACTGCCATCATTCCTCTTTTTTTCAGGTGCTCCAGCTTGTATGAACAAGACGAGGCCAATGTGTTTGCAGAGCCTTCGGTTATGTCTGCACACGTGCTCCCCTACCTGCTGCAGATGGCTGAAAAGTGCTCTCAATCCCCTGCTCTGGCACAGAGCCTGAACTCATGGGCAGAGGACAACGCTGCACAAGTGCTGGATAACCTTGCAGTCTGCAAAAAGCTTATTACAGGTATCACACTAGCTGGTCAATCTGAGACTAAGATGTGGTCTCTTCCTGATTTTCTTGGCTGTGTCACAATCATTGTATTTATTTGTTTCTAGCTGAGGCCTTGACTCCCTCCTGGCTGGCTCTCCTCATGGACCCCCGTCTGCACAGCACGCTGTGCGGCCTGTTCACCAGGGCGGCCCTCCTCCTCCGGCTCCTCCAAACATCTGCTCACGTGCCGCACATCTGTGACGTCTCCTCCCTGCCAGCGAGTCTGCGGGAAGTTTGCGGACTGCTCAGTCAGAACGGTGTCCACTTTCCCGCAGCTTTAATAGCTGCTGCGGTTGGAGAACGGCCACTGTGAGGAACCCTCCTGGCACGCTAAGGACCGAAGGAGACCTTTTGACCCACGTAGCTCGGTATAACATTACCTGTTGATATTTATAATATGCACATGACATAACATGTGTTGCTGCATTACACCAGCCCATGGGAAGCCAGTGGAGTTAAGGAAGAGTTCAGTGGCTGTGCAGAGAGGGGATACTGTGTGAGTGAATAGTGGAGCTCTAAAGCTTTCTTCATTTGTAGAAAGAAACTCTTTTGTGCTGAGCTGCAGGCGCCACATTAGCCCCTCTTTGCTCGCCACCGTCATAGTCTGTCGTTCTAGGCTTTTCTCAGCAGCTACTGAAGTGAGACTCAGGCCAACACAGTGTTGCACTACCACTCCTCTCCAAGAACCGCCCGCCTCCGACCCAGCGGGGGGGAATACGGGGCACGGTTTGATGTTCCATTAGAGGCCCTCTGTCGGAACGAGCGTCCATTTGTCAACCGCATGTGGACAAGTGATGATAAAGTGCTTGGCAGTTGCCTCACAAACCGCACACTCAAAGAGTCTTACATCATCGGACCCAACACCGGTGCTGTCGAATGGCCCATTTGCCTGGACAAACACTGGTCTGAAACACATGCTGTGATTGGCCGTGTTCGGCTCCCCGTATGGCATGATGAGGGATGATTCAGCTCTTAGCCTGGATTAGACCAGTGTTCATTTTTTCCCCAGTTTTTCCTAAGCTCTACGTCGACCTGCACTGCGCAAGCATGTGTTGCACTGTCGAGTATTTGGATTATACAACACCTTTGACAGTAAGCTTGTTGGGATGATTCATCCACAGATCTTATGCAACGCGTGGCCCACACTGTGCAGACCTCAGTGGGGGGGGCATTCACATGAAGACAAAACTGCTAAATTACTCAAATCATAGGAGAGAAATCATCATTCACGGATGAACAATGCATTCTGCTGACCGATTGGCTGTTAGGATGGACAAAACCAGAATCACATTTCAGTTTCTGAGATCCAGAAGGAATTCAGTTCAAATTACCATAGCCTAATATACAAATCTTTTATACCCCTGAGGATATATCCAATCATTTGAGTGGGAAATGAATTCCTCTGTACTTTGTGTTTATTTGTCAATGTTTGACAAAACAAAATGTTAATGTCTCTTTCCTGTTTTTTAACTGACTTGAAGGTGAGCACAGTTTTAAATATATTGAAGGCAACACATACATAAAAGTGGAAAATGACCACCTGGCTTAATGAAAGACTTTGCCATTGTAACTGAGGGTACTGGGCTCTCAGTAAGCCTCCTTTCTGCTACTTAAATGATTAGCTATGGTAACAGGGAACAGGGCCAAGTACAGTGGGTACAGCCTCCGTCATGAGCTGTGTACATAACTTAAACATAGGGGTGCTATTGGGTGCCATTTGACGCATGAAAGTACTGGTTTCCCTCTGCATCAAGTGGTTTTGTGAAGAAGAAAGAAACAAAGTCAAAAACGTATTTCTGCTGATACTTTTAAAAGTCTAAATGAACTCATGTTTTGTAAGTTTTGATTTTGAAAATGAAAGATTTTACCGTATGTAATAAAAACTGTGTTAAATATTAAAATATATTAAAATAAAGTTTTTATCTAAAGAGGATTTCTTATTGCACAAAACAAACTATTGCACCACCACACTTCAGGTAATGAATTTGAAGCAATCAGCTCCCAGAGCAACGGAAAACTGCTCAAATTGATATTTCTACTGACACGTTCCCCAGTTTTGGAAGATGTCTGATGAATGAGGTGTTCAAATGAAAACCTTTTGTTTTTTTATTCTACAGGCCATTTCAGCTTATTTTAAACAGTCATTATGCTTTGAAATCATAATGGTGAATTTAGTATTTTCCTTTCAGTGAGCATAATCCCCATATGATAGATTTACAATTACTACTAAACTTTCATTACCGTAGTTTAATTGAAAATAGTGATTCTGATCCCTCTCCTGTAAAGTTATGCGTAGTTTTCCATTTTCTTTCCAATTTTCATGTTTTTTATCACACCATTGAGAAGATTTACTTTTGAAAAACGGCCATCATATTTTAGCTAGAAGCCCATGCTTTCACATTGTGATAAATTCATGAAACACTGAATGGGAGAAAAAAGATGGGGCTTGGAATTTTGACAGTGATGGAGCATAACAGACAGATGCTGTGTGTTAGTTCTGGTGATTTCCTGAAAACTGGGTAAGCAACCGTTTCAAAAGTGGCCTGATGAACTAGTTGGCCTCATCCTCAGCCAGTGGACGTTTCCAGTCCCCCCCCCCCCCTCCCGTGCATCCAGAACAGAGCTGTCAGTCAGCAGGAAGACAAAAGGGGATAAACACTATTGGCAGGCCTCCTTTATTACAGACTGTGGAGTCCATTTCTGGCCGAAGCCTGCGGATGAGGCCTGAGAGGGCCAGAGCAAACAGGAAGACTGCAGATGCACCACCCACGCTGAGCCGGATCAGACTCTGTTGGAAGGGGGTCCTGAATGGAAAGCTGTGACTCAGAATCTTCAGATAAAAATAGAAGGCACATGTTTAAAGTATGTAAACAACCACAGAATTGATGAAACTAGAAAATGTGGATCTGGAAAAGAAAAAGAAAGAAAAAAACGCTCAGCTGGATGATTAAATGCCATAAAGGTTTTTTTTTTCCTGTAGGCCACTGCCGAGGTCCCTGAAAGCTGAATGGCAATAAAAGACGCCAGACTACTTTTCAGCAGTTTTTTCTTTCCTGTGTGTGTCTGCGCGTGCGTGTGTCTGTGCGCGAGACGCCGAAGAGGCTTTAGGACCTTGAGGTTTGTGCTGCAAAGGGCAGCTCCTCCTCCACAGGCTGTTTACCAAGAGAGAAGAGCTCCTCTGACAAAAACAAGGGCTGGGGCTCAGGCTGGAGGAGCAGTTTCTGCTGCATAGGCTCTTCCCCGGTTTGGACACTTACAGCGTTCTTTTTTTTCTACTTTGCTTTTTTTTTGTTCCGCTTGTTTAGGTGGAAACGACACAAGATGTGGTCGGTTTGCCCAGGCCGTCAGCTCTGCAACATGTTTTTGTCTCTGCACGTTGTTTTCCTGAGCGTGGCCATTGTGCAGAGCAGCGCATCGAATGGAGCACAGAAAGGTAAAATGACTCCCTTCAGTGTTTGATCCCTCATTTGTCGCGTTTTTTTTAAATGCACACGCCTATTTAACACGCTTTCTATAAATGAACATCGTTTTTTAAAAGAAAAAAGCTGTATTTTTAATTGTATGTGAGGCTTGCAGTTTAAGTTGCGCTCAGTGTTATTCTCCCGTTTGTCCAGACTGTGTGAGGTCCAGTGGTGTGGACTACAGAGGAGAACAACAGAGCTCCTCCTCAGGTCTGGCCTGTCTAAACTGGGTCAACATTACAAGGGACTATGATACCGAAACCCATCCGGACTCACAGACAGGTAAACAACCCGGAATATTCCTCACAGCAGAGATCAGTGATGCCCCCTTTCAGTAAATGTAGATTTAAAAGAGTGATTCTGCTTCTTTTTGGTGGTTTTTCATCACAAGAAAGACAGGAAACCCCATATTGATGGTATTGATATGCACATGTTGATGGTAGCAACAGTCATTTTCAGTAGAACAGACCGTTCTGAAGAAAACGGTCTGATTAGATAATAAAATCTCAAGTAACAGCAGAAACGTGCTGGACATTAATAGAGGAATGTACAGCACACACTCCAGGTTCTGTGCCACAGAGGACTCTGTTTGGGACGTTCAGTGTCCTCTTTGGCGCAGCTGCTGCTGTTTCCATTGTTTGTGCTCACGGCAGCCTGCACATCGTGGTGTGATGAAGTAGTGTGAATGATTCACGAATTCAGCAGTCCATCCACTCACACACACACGCACACACACACACACTCAGGGCAGCATTTCCACTAGGAATCAGTAACAGACGGCTGCTGTTTTTATGGCTCGTCCTTGCAGGAGCTGGAGATCACAGTTACTGCCGAAACCCGGACGCCTCAGAGAGGCCGTGGTGCTACATTGCCGGCCCGGATGGGACGATCCAGAGACAGTTCTGCAAAATTGAGACATGCAAAGGTCAGTAAACACTGTGCACAGTTATAATATAGGTGGCCTTTGGTGGAAAAACAGTTGAAAGGGCACTGACAACAGGGCGTCTTCAGCTCTGAATGTGTCTGTAGAACTCTGAAAAGAGAAAAACTATAAGATGTTGGTCAGGATAGTCAATACCCTTATTAAAAAGGCCCCAAAAAACATGTGGCCTACATTTCAGCTTTTGTAGCTCAACAAATCCTTGAAAAGTAGGTTTCCCTTTTCTTTGTTTCCCCCAAATACACCATTCGGAAGTCGCCATTAGGTAAAGATGACCGGTGGCCGATTCTTTTAAAGAGCAACAGGTCAGATGGTCTGCGTTAAGTGGGTTTAAGTGAATTCCCTTTGTTTCATGGCCATCACTGGAGACAACGAGAGTCAGACAATAACAAAGCCAAGCACACATGTGAGGAAGTTCAGACTGAAGACGCCTCCTGAGCCAGCCCCAAAGCTGCGCTTATTGGCATTAGGGAGAGGCCTCTCCATGGAGACAGCAGCTAATTGGCTGTTTCGTTTTATGACTTCACCCATTTTAACTTGGTCAGAGTTCATAAACAACTCGAGGTGGGGGGGGGCAGGAAAAAAAAAAAAAGGAACAGCCTGAATGTACAGTACGAAGAACTTGTTTTTGCACGAACCCTGTAATAAACCGTGCTCACGTTTTCTCTCCCGGATTGACATTCCAACATTTTTTGTGCGAGCAGTCTCAGTGCTTTGACTCTTACTGTCAGGGAGGGTTTAGTGTTGGGAGAAATGTCGATGGAAAAGTACTAATTGGGAACCACACGCAGCCCAGATGATAGCGCTCTGCAAGGGAGGTGCCATCATTGTTTTTCTGACACTGAGGAATCATTTACAACAGATTCTGAATGTACTATTGGTTAATGGGCAAATTATTATCTTTAGCATTTGCAAAAGCAAACGATTTAACAACTGGCATCTCTTTACATGTAAATCTTCGCACTCACACAAATGGACATAGGGTTTGACTCTAGATGTTGACTCTTTTTAGTAGAAGATTTGGCAGAACCCTATGATTTCACGGGAAGAATTTCCACAAGGAAAGTTTCTCATTTCTGTCGTTTTGTTGTGTCTGCAGAGCAAAGCTCAGCTGAGCCAGCAGAGGCCGAGTCCCTCATCCCGACAGGAAGCGCTTCCTCCACTGAGAGCTTCCAGCCGGCGCGGTCGGGAGCTTCTCAGGGAGAAGTGGCTGCCGTGCAGCCGGTAATGGGAGTCAGCCAGCGAGTGCGGACGGGGCCCAAAAAGAAGAAGGACCTGGGCGTGCTCGGTGAGCTTTACACGCAGTCCCAATGACGGAAAGATTTCAAAGTGATCCACGTGAACTTATTGTGTCCTGTATTCAAACCCTAAACTCGTTCCGTTGGCTTCACAGGCTACGTCCTGGGCATCCTCATGATGGCGATCATCATCATCCTCGGTGTGGGCATCACGTTTGGCTACTTCTATAAAAGGTCAGCATCCGAACTGCCTCATTCGATTCAGAATTAGGGCAGTTTTTTTTTTTATATTCGTTCACTAGAGGGCCCCGTATGCTTTCCACTGTCTCTGGCAGCTATCTTTCACATGTGCAGCACGACCAGCTCCCGTAGGAAAACACACATCAGGGAGAAAGTCAACAGCTTTGGCTCACATTTCCCCACCAAAGGTTTCTGTTTCTGTTATTGCACTGTGGTGCCATGTGGCCATTTTGATGGCTTTATCAGCACTGAGCAAGAGGAGGAAATTAAATGCCGGCAGTCTATTCTGAGCCCTGTAGATATTCTTACAAGAGAAGAGCGCATGGAGAGCGGGGGGTAGAATTGGGCAGAGAAGCCTGAACAGTTCCAGTTATGCAACATGCAATGCGTTGGTTCAAATTGCTGCGAAAGGGGGTGTCCTGATGTCCTTTGGCAGCCCAAAGGATGTTCATTCGGCCGCTGTATCTGATTAGCACTGCCTTTGTCTTCGATTTCTATTTCAGGAGGTGATTATTAAGAAGGGGAAGCATATTATGTCAGAGGGCTTATACATGCCCTGGTTGCACGGTGACATCAGCTTCAGTAATGTGATACATGAGTGGCAGCTATGCCCCGATGCATCTGAGGCTCCACTGGTCAGCAGGGCAGGAAGACCGCATCGTGTCCCATATGGGACCAACGAGGACAGCTTTTGGCACAGGAGGGGTTTTTAGAGAACTGGAGTGGGAGAGAAAAAAATATAGTGTATATAGGCTTCAGCTAGGCTTTTATATCAAATTTAAAAGGAAGTTTTGAGACAATCGCTGCCCCTCTCATATCTGTCGGCCAGCAAACGGCTCGTTTGTCCATGCACAAAGCCTGGAAACGAGAGAGCAGGGCCAGAGTGGGCAGTTTGCTAGGCAACCAGCTACGGGAAGTTTCTGGAAACAAACAGTCTGGTACAAACAAAGGAGCCCATGAACCCCTGACAGCACTTGCAGCTGAAATTAAAGGCAGACGTGCAGAGCAGGGACGCACAGTTTTAATGCCCTTAGGCAGGCAGGTCGGAGATGTTTCGAGTGGAGAATAAAGTTTACCGTTTGTGCTCCGGGCGCCATAAAGCTGCAGCTGAGTAGCTCCTCACCAGCTTATCAGCTCTCTGTTTCCTATCACCCTCTTGTTCCTTGTCTTTGCTGCAGACCAACTCTGGCTATCTATAAACAGAATGTTTTGTGAAGCCCTTTATCCACAATGTTCAGCATATATGGTTTAAGATAAATTACAGATGTTTTACAATTGTGGCTTAGTTACTATTAAATCCAAACCACAATGACAGGTGGGAAAAGATGTAATGATTTTTCAATCATTCAATCAATAAAATAAATAAAAAGACATTAGAATGGAAAATACCCATCAAGTCAGACTGTAACCAAAGCTGGACTTCCCAGTGAGCACATGTGGACAGCCCCTGCCAGAATCAAATTAAAAATGGGAAACCCATGATTTGTTGTTCCCACCGAAAAGCTCTCTCGAAAATCTTTGCAATTGAGCCCCTCGAGCCTCTGTGTTTTTCCCTTTGGATTTCACTGAGGATTATATATGGGAACCATCAGTGAGGGGTACTGACAGGCTTCCAGAAAGATTTTCTTTAGCCCTCACATATTGACTTGTTTTATGACAATAGAAATAAAAAAAAGAAATTATTTAAATGGATAACGTTGTAATCTGAGTCAGATGAGGTCACCTGGGGACAACGCATTTGTTACACGTAACAAGTGTGCTAGCTGTACGTGAGTTTTCTATAATTGAACGCAGTTAAAAATAAAACCACTAGATCAAACTTTTTAATGGGTCACCTGTCACGGATAGAAAGTGGAACAGAGCGCTGAATGGGCTCTTTGTGTCCGTGCTTAGGGGCCGGGACCTGAAGAAGCAGCACGAGCAGCGGGTGTACGAGAGGGAGATGCAGAGGATCACCCTGCCGCTGTCCGCCTTCTCCAACCCCACCTGCGAGCTCATAGACGAGAACACCATCGTCATCACGGCCGAGAGCGAGACCGCCCCCGTCCAGGAGGGCGGTGACCCCCTGATGGGTCAGCATGCGGGCACTCCCGGAGCGTGAGCAGGCATGAAAGTCCTCCGACGGGACCGTGATGACTTATTGTTTTTGTGGACCAGAACACTCCTAATTCCAACATTTCTCCGCCCAACATCCCCGAGATGAGGAGCAGCCTTGGCTCCAAAGGCCTGAACTATATGTCCTTTGTGTCCCTCTTTTCCTCTTTTTTTTTCAAAAACACGAGACACAAACAAGATAAGCTGACACAAAAGTCTCTTGAGACAAAATCTGCTTTAATTGAAGGACGCGCCTTGAGGTTTTTCATATCATTTCAGATACTCAGAAGAGGAAACAGAAATCAGGTCGCAGGCTGTCCTCCTGTTTAACGGCACGGATATTCAGTAACACAGACATTTGACTCGTCAGGGGGTTTGTTAGCCACAGGTCTTTGTAAAGGGGTGGCCCTAACCTAGAGTGGGGGAAATTTCCTCCCGTCTTTTGTTTTCCACAGGAGGCACGGAATGACTGTGTTCTTTGATTTGTGAGGACTGCTGGTTTTGTCCAGGGAGACGATAAAATGCGTTTTTTCGGGAAGACTCCTTTGACACACTGATGTGTGCCCCAAAAAATAGCCGTCTTCCTCTGTGACGGGATGCATGAGGTAAAGAGGCCCGTAGATGACGAGGGAAGGCCTCCAGCACATAACTGCCTTAGCATGATACTTCTGAATGTATTCTACCCCATTTTTAGTCTGCCAGACCGGTGTAGTTTAGAAGCATTGATGGAGGCAGGCGCGAAAGAAGACCCGCCGTCTTCTTCCACAGGTTAAGGAGTGACAGGAAAACGTAGCGTGCTCTCAGGAGGCGTGCACGCGGAGAAAAATAGCACTGCCACAACGCAGGGGATCAGGCCAGAACAGTGGGAGCGTGTCCACACACACGGGGAACGCTGGTGTCTAGGCTCGGACCGGAGTTACGCGCCTCATAAGAGTGGAGAAGAGTTAGAACGCTCCCACGTTAGCGGGCGTTCATGTAAAACCCTGAAAAACTGAATTGCATGTACGTGGTTACCTGCTGTATGTTCGTCTTTCAGGGGCCATTTTTCCCGTTTTAAGAAGTTGAGCAACTCCTTGAGAAAATACTTTGTGTGGCTGAAAGTAATCCTAACAGGAAGAAGCTTTGTTTGTTTGATGTGATGCACAGTTACTTCAACATGTTTTCATTTCAGTGGTCGTCCGTTCAGTCGCTCCAGCTGGGCTGAGGTTTTGTGGTTTTCATTACTGGTAAATTAATGGTTGCTGCAGCTTCGATATTTCTGGTGTCTGTTTGCTGGCTGGACTTACTTTTTATCAACGTGCTTAAAGTTTTTTGGCACTTGTATTTATAGAAGTATGCTCATTGCTCAGACTCAAATAAAAAATGATTAGCCACTAATGTGTTGTGTGTCCTTCCTGCTCAGCATGAGGGGTGGAGAGGAATGCTCGGACTCTCGTAAGCAACCTAATGTTGACGGTTTATACAGAGCAAGAACTTTTCAACATCAGCTCCCTCTGTTGGAAAGCCGTTGAAAGTCAGTGGAGTCTATAGCGAGCTGGCCAATGAGATGAAAGTAACTGGGGCAAAAATGTTTAAATATGTATAAAGTGCAGATACTGAGTTAAAAACAGTTTTTATCCAAATCTGAAAACCAAAATGATGACAGAAATACCAAAGAAAAAGTATTAGAAGCATGTACGGTTACGGAGGATTTTTATTTTTAGCAAATCGGATTTACCTTTGATTCCACAATTTGATAAACCCATTAATAAAAAGATATTTAGTTCTGTCAAAAAAAATGGAAATCTATCCCCCTTAAATTCTGTCTGTCAGTTTCATTCCAATGAAAAAATAAAATAAATCCTTTAAAAAAAAGAAAAGAGCAAATTCCAAGAGTTTTATTCATGAAAAACTACAGTGATATAAATAAAAGTGGTTACAACTGGTCATCAGTACCTTGCATGATAGCAAATTGTTGTCGAAATGTCTAAAAATCTACAAAGTCCCATTAGAAAATTAAATCAAATTAGAGGGGTTGTATGTACATGCATATATACAATGCTTAAAAAGAAAAGGAGTCACTCTGTATGAACCAGTCGTTCCTGGTCAGCTCCATCATGACTGATGTCCTAACGGTCCAACATTCATAGAGTTCCTGTCATGTGTTTTTATCTGAGGGGAAAGAGTGTCATCATGCAGTCTGACAAATCAATCCAACTGATCAGTGGCACAAAGAATTAAATATTTCCAACATCTTTCCGACATCAGAAACACAAAGAAATCAATTCTGTGAAGCAAAAGTTTGTGGGTAGGGTGTTATTTAATGGATGGTTTTGTTCATCTAGTGGATGATTCTGGCTGCAAGCATGAAGATAAGTGTAGTTTTTTTTTTTTTACCAACTTTTGTCCCCACTATAAGAATCAGAATCAACTTGAACATATTTTCACTGGCTAGAACAAAGCCACTGAAGATAGCAGAGTCTGAAGCTGGTTTCTGTGTGTTCACACATGTTGCTTTTTGGGAACAGAGCAGAGCTAAACTAAAAGCTAGAACTAAAAGCTAAATGTATTGTCGAGTGTAAAAAAAGGAAAAAAATATGTTGGAGGCAGAGGTTTTCCAGAACAATGACCCAAAGCAAAAATGAAAAGGTGGAAAAAAAAGAAAATGATGGAATTGAATGAAATACCACTGAAAACCTTTAGAGGGAGCTGAAATCTGCAAATGCTAAAGAAGGCTCCTTCCCACACCTTCATTCTGAAAGAGCGTTTAAAATGATAAAGATTTAAACCACCGGCAGAACGGTGCAGAATGGACAGAGGTCGCAATATCAAGAGGAAACCACTGTTTCCAAAGCTTTGCAATCAAACAAATGTCTTTAATGCCATCCTAAGTACATGAAAACTAAACGTTCCTCAATAAAACAATGACAATGGGACTGAGTCACTGACGTCTAATCCTAAAGATATCCTAAATCCTACGCTACATATTCAATCACAGCATTGATCCAGACCAACACCTCCACCGTCAGGGATCTGTGTCTTTGTTTTTCTTCATTGGTGAGGTGAAGCAATTCCTCTTTTGGGCAAGGACTCACGTGTGCATTCCACACAAGGCAAACAACAACTTCAGAGCCAGCAAAAAAAAAAAAGAAAAGAAAGGAGAGAGAAAAAAACTGTCATGTGAGGGTTCAAAGTCTTCCACCTTATAGAGATGCTTGTCCACTGGAAAACAACCACCGTAAGTTGCTGTTTTTTGTACGCTGTAAACATCGGACGGCCCTGTTTGTGTGTTAGGCGGCGGCTTGGAATGACAGAAGTAAAAATAGAATCATTACACTAATGTGTCATTTTGAAATGAAGGTAGTGGCGCTCCCATGCAGGGGACTTGGTCCAGCTTTGTCAGATCATCCAGTTCTGTCACGGATCGAGTTCAGCACCACTCTTTTCCTCATCCGCAGTGTTAGTGCGGCACTTAAGAGGCGTCTCAAATGGGAGATGCCGGGCCCAACTGGCACACGTCCTAAGTGCCGTTTTCCGCCGTGCCGGAGCAGTCTGGAGAGGCGGCTGTTGGGGAGGCTGGCTGGTCGGCGGCCTGGCTGGGATCTTTAGGCCAGTAGAGCCGGCTAAAACGCTGATGCAGTTCGTCTAGTTCAGCCGGTAGTGGGATTCCCAGCTCTTGGTTGTAGGAGAGAGCTTCGAACCAATCCTCAAGCTTCTGTGAACATGGGCTGAGGGAGGGAGGAGACAGAGGGATCAGTCAGGGCACTCAGAGGGCTTTAGGGTTAGAACCAGCCTGACTGGGTTGAGAAAAAAAAACATGAGGAATCAATCTGGCAGCAGAGGTGTGTCTCTGTGCAAACACGTCCAGATGGCATCTGGGAGTTTTCCTCCCCACTACCTTCTCCTTTAGACATGTGTATGGTGGCCATGTGGTGCAACACAAAATAACGCTGGACAAAGAACAAAGCAACGTGACAAAACGAGCCTATTTTAGAACACATTCCAACACGCGTATAAGTCGAGATCACATGCAAACATTATGTCCAATTTGGTCTTAGGCTTTGATGTCCTGGTTATCTAGTCTGTTTAGTTGTGTATTTGTTATCACTTTATAACTTCACTTATCTTTTGTGGGTGAAAATCAAACTTGTGCTAATAAATCAACACAGCGGTGGCAGCGGCGGCTCACCGGTTTTCTGGTGTGAGGTCACAGCAAGCCACAGCCAGTGGAAAGAAAGCTGGCGGACAGTCTTCAGGGAGGAACTTCTCCACAAACTTGCCAACATTTAGACCGAAGTCCAGATTCCTAGGGAGGCACTCAGGGTCTGCATAGACTTTTCCAATAATCTGAAACATAGAAAGAAAACAAACGTGATAAAATGTTCAAGTGGCAGAGAAAAATGTATTTCTGTCCTTTAAAGAACAGGTACAATTTATTGTGTTTCAAATACACAACGTAAGCCAACATTTTCTCCCAGTTGCGTTAAACTGATTTAATAAATTCGACCCCATTTCCAAACAACCGCAGAATTCAAAAATTGATTTAGGATTGAGATCAAAGTCAAAACGGTGCCTTACCTCACAGAGCACAATTCCAAAGGAGAAAATGTCCACCCTCTCATCGTAGCGCTTCCCTGTAATAACATGAAAGACAGTTAAACACTGACCAACACACAGTGTTTTAGCTGCTGTTTGCCATTCTCTGTTTCTCTGTTAAAAGGCTCACCGTTTAGCATTTCCGGAGCCATCCAGTAAGGGTTTCCCACAACGGTGTACCTCTTCTTTCGATCGATGCGTCTCAACACTCTCTTCTTAGGGGACGGCTTTTCGGGGGGAGGCCTTACTTTTTCTTCGACAACGAGTCGGGACAGTCCGAAGTCGGCCACAACCACTGTGTTGTCCTGTTAAAAGAATATGACAAAAGGGTCCAATCAAACTGAGGTTCTGGTTTTGTTTTCTGTGTTCTGATGTGATACTTTAATCCCCTGTGATCGTCAATTCTACAATCTCAACAACATTTTAAAAATTATATTACTGTTTATCATATTTTTGTTTAGTTCACATTCTTCTTTTGAGGTGTTTTTTAAGAAGTCCTGTTTATGAGGAAAAACATAGCTGGGAAAGCCTATTCCTTGTGAAATTGAGCAGTTTGACTTTGTCCTGCTGTTTTATTTTTGATGTGTAAAGGCTTTTCAGATGTCACCTACCAGTTTTACCAGGCAGTTGTGAGAGTTGAGGTCTCTGTGGATGATGCTCATCGAGTGAAGGTAGGCCTAAGAAAAAACAGATGACAATCAATTTGACAGTCAAAGGTCACACAGCCAAGTTGTTTGATTATAGTCAAATAAGCACTACATGCAACCAACACAACTTATTAGTTCCCATATCCTGCATCCACTACTGGACAGTTTGAGACACTGGGCCTTTCAACGCCCAATGGTGTTTCTCAAACATGTTCGATGTGAAAACAAAACCTAAAGCTGCACCAACATGTTGATGATGTTTGACTGGTAACCTGCTGACAAAGCACCGTCTGCCTTCGTTAGATTAGATTAGTTTAAACATAACCAGAAATGGTCCCCTTTGTGTTGGATCCATCATCTTCATGTGTGCAAACTATTGTGCATTTTTACAGAGACACAGAGAAAACAAACATAAGTTGAACTCACCATGCCAGAGGCAATACTCTTTGCAAAGCTCACTCTTTGTTCCCATGGAAATGGGTCCTGTTAGCACAGAGTAAAGAGAAAAAAAAATCTTCAGATGATATGGAACTAAAGAAATTATAAGGATAATGATGAATAAATAACCATTTATATAACCCTTTTTAAGAAAAAAACAGCAATATTCAAAATAATTTAATGGTTTGAAGGACAGGACAAACAACCCTGATAATTACTGGAAAAGCTATTACTTTTGTCATCCAATGTGTGAGTCACTTGACACGTCAGGCTGCCACTAATGGAGCTGAGAGCCTAGTGTGGGGTGCATCTAAGGTCATACTCTCCTACACATCTCTGAGCTGCCGGCAGCTCCTCCTGCGCCGTGCTTTTTGATGAAAGGAAAACAAAAAGAACTAAAGCTTAACTCACCATGTCTCTGATGAAATCCTTCAGGGTGCCTCCCTCAATAAACTCGGTTATCAAATTGAGCCTCTTGTCCTTGTACAGCACACCGATAAACTTCAAAACGTGGGGATGATCGAGGCTTCGCATTACTTTGACCTGAGGTTTGGTGACAGAAAACAAGAAGTCCCTAATTATGATAAGCAAGTTATCCCTAATCAGTTTCTTGTACAGAGAAGCTTCACCCACGGGAAAAAAAAACGACTGAATACAAGTTAAACTAAGTCAGAGGGGACAACCTCAAAATAACAATGTACAAAGACGTAACTGTTGGGAAATGTGGCGTGCTTTTAGTTGTGAATATTAATACAGAGACAGGTCTGTCTGTGAGAAATCACAGCCCTCCTGCTGCTGATTACCAACCTCCTTCAGGAAAGTTTTCTGTGTCTCCTCATCGCAGCGGATCAGCTCCTTCATCACCATCACCTCTCCTGTGGCTTTATGAGTCACCTGTTGGAAACCAAAGAATTACTCAAAGCCCACACAAAAAAAGCACCCAAGAGCGCAGACAAAAAGCCTGTAAAAAATAAATAAATCAAATTAAATAAATAAAAAACAGACCTTGATGGCTTGTCCAAAAAAGCCTTTCCCTAAGATCTCCCCGTGTATGAGGTCGCAGGGCCGGAAAATGCGATGAGAGCAGCTACGGGAGGATCTCAGGGATTCGGAGCGTCCGATGTCTTTTCCGATGAAAGGGCACTCTTTGGGAGAATTTGGCCCGGGTGACTTGCATATGCTGTTACTGCGTCTGATGTAGACAACATTTTTTTTACTCATTCGAGCACACAACATGGAAGATGTATGCTCTTTGTTTTTTTTTGGGGGGGGGGCTGCTCCAAAATACCTTAAAGACCTCCTTTTAAGAGTGCAGTCGTCAGTCACATCTGTCCTCTCCAGGACGGCGTCGGACGGTGAGGATAGCCGCATGCGGGAGGTGGCTGGGACTCCGAGCTGGTTTCTGGGCGACCCCAGTCTCAGCCGGTCTAGATGCTGCCTGACTGGGTCATATTCGATGAGCAGCTGCAGCGTGTGGCTGGTTCGGTGAATGAGATCGTCAACCTAGAACAGAAGAGTGGAGGAGAAATGTTTGTAATGTATGTGGTATGAAGAGCATCAGTGTGCCGGAAGAAGGAACTACTTTTGTCCTGAATATGCAAATGCCCACTGGTGGTGAACATGAATGATCAATTTGCTACCTGTCTGAGTTAGTTTAAAAGCACTATGCCTGACATGAACACAATGCAGCAACACAATTATTGAGGTAGACAATTAAATACGATACATGGTATGAAAAAAAGTTGACTGGATAAAACTAAAGAACATGAATGGAATGCATGGAATTTTGTGAGGGTGAGATGGTGGGAATGAGCCTTTAAGTCATTCGCATACCTTCCTCTCCCAGTGCAAGAATGCATAAATGATGAGGTAATGTGAGAAATGTCAAAAATCACAAGTGAAACTGTTGTATAATAACAGAACACCTATGCAAAAAATGCTCTTTGGGAATCTAATCGTGAGGGTTGTTTTTCCTTTAACGACTTCAGTGCATCGGCTATAAAAAGCTCACCTCATTCTCCATCAGCGTCCCAACAGGAAGGCCATTAATCTCCAAGATCCTGTCTCCGACATGGATAGCATTTCGCACTTCTGGACTAATAAGCATCCCTCTGACTCTGTGGGGGAAAAAAACAAAAAAGACAAAAAGCGAATGTGAGGACAGACTCCAAGAAAGAAGAAGGAAAATAACACATGGTGACATTTGTGGATTCTGATAATCAGTAACCGGACACTCAAAACACAAAATAAAAACACATGACCCAGACACTCTTCTCCCCAACATTATCAGACTTTCACCGGCTCCGTCTTCCTTTCAGTGGCCTACTTGCACACCTGCCATTTAGCAAGCCTATAATCAGCCTTAGGTAGAGCGCTGCTCATGCCTTTCCCACACAGCGTGACAGCCACGCACTTACTCTTTGACCATAACGCTGGCTGCCCCGTTGCTGCCCCTCAGCACTGAGACGGAGAAGCCCCTCTTGCCGTTGGCGGCGGACGGCATGGAGATGAGGGTCACGGTGTGGGGCAGCGAGTCGAGGATGGAGTCGTGTGAGCGTTTTTCCAACATGGGGGTGAGGACCACCTGCTTGTAGCACTGTCCACTGCAAACAAAAGCAAACAACACGTGTGGGCGAGCATGCTCATAGATTCATGTTAAAACAAAAAGGCATAAAAACTTATGGTGTCTCTCTAACCGAGTGGCAGTAGATTAAAAAAAACGCCACATCACACATTAATGTACGAACTGCTAAAGAACATGAGAGGTGACTGTTCACATGAAAAACCTGCCTGTGCATGATGTGGATTCTTGTTTCAAAAAGCTGTACGGAGAACAAAAGCCTGTGCGTGTGACTTACCAGTAGAGCTTTGACCTCTCGACCAAGGCGTATGTGTCCCTGTCCTCAATCACCACCTTGCACCTCAGACACACAAAACACTCAGGGTGGTACTTGTACTCTCCAGCCACCTGGAGGAAAAATAAAAAAAATAAAAGAAGTTGATCCTCTATTCAGCGCAAAAAAGAAAACATAAGGCGTTCAAAGATGAGCAGCTGCTCTGCTGCTCTGCCTACGACAAATAAGTGCGATGTGCATGGGGCTGCTTTGTACTCTCCTCCCACCACAGGCGGTGACACAGGAGTAACACCTGCTTCACTCTCAGCCTGTCTGGAATCTGTTATGACGTCAGCTTTTGCAGGTCTGAGCCTCCTGTTATTCTTTACGGGAGTAAAGAGCAACAGGAGTGTGATCAGGCCTGTCTCACTGGCACGACATGCACACGGATGACCAATTTCCCTTTCTGAAATGCATGTCCCCCTCCCACCACATCTGTCTCCTTTCATCCCTCACATGCAAGATGAGATAATGCGTCTTTCCCCGGAGCGAGCAGGTTCTTTGATGAAATACTTAATTTGTGTCGACAAAGTATTATAATTGAAGTCACAGCGCTTTGTGATTTGTAGGCAAGAAACAAACATCAAACATTTCTTTTAAATAACAAGGCTAAATCCTTGTGCGAAGAGTTTATTATTCCTTTTAGTTAATTTTGTCCCTGAGGCTGCTTTTTCTGTTTTCTTTATGCGTTGCAGTGAAGAAGAAGAGCACCCTCAAAAATTTCCTATTTTTTGTCTGAATACTCACTGTTCAGTTATCTGCAAATTAAGCACATTGAGACTTGTGTTTTTTCCCATCGCTCACCACAGCTCTGAGTCAGTAAGTGCTGGGAAAGGGTTCCCCACAGCTTGAAGGTGATGTCAGCAAACTGATTGTGACATATCAAAAGTCTGTGCGCAACTCCCAGCCCTCCAGCGAAAAACAAATCCACCGCAGAGGACTCCCTAATGACCTCCACAAAGCTTAAATAGAGAGAGTGAACCGAACAAAATGGTGAAACATCAAAGTGGAGAGAAATAAGGACTTATTTTGGTTGTAAAATTAATTGAAAAACATATATAATTAAATCAGAATTACATAAACCCTGAGAGCCCAACTTAATAAGTTTGGTACTAGATTCTGTCACAGTACAGGTCGTTCCTCAAATAGGGACAGTTGGTTTATCTTTGTATAGTTTTGTATGGGTATTTAGTTTTCCAAATTACTTAATTACACCATTCTAATTACACAGTAAAGAAATGATTGGTTGGAAACGTATTTTTAGATTTCAAACATTACTGTAAGGCCAATATATGAGGACACAGGGTCTCAGGAGGACAAAAAAATAAACATTTTTAAGAACCCTGAGAGTGAAATGATAATAGGAAAAAACATCTACAATGATTCAGTAAACTAACAAATAATTGAAGCCGAACAAAAACAATAGTGTTCTGGACTTAAAAGCCTAACAAGCAGCAGCAGTTCTGCATGACCCTCCTCCTCTGTTGGACCACAATGATTTTCTTTCTGAGTGAGAGGCTGAACTGCCAGTTCAGCCCTGCCAAAAACACTTGGCTTCACAGGCTGATGAAGCAGAGCGCCAGAACCCAATAGAGGAGTCCATTATGTGTGTTGCTTGGTGGCAAAAAGAAAAGCTTCAGACTAGCTCCGTGTTAGACAAGTGACCCTGTCTGTGACCAGCGAGTGCTGCTTTCACCTAAAAGTCATGTTTTAGCTCGGAGACGTACATGAAGCACTTCTATTTTGAGAGCAGATATCGGAGGTTTATTGACATCTGAGGAGCATGAGCCGTTTTCCTCCAGCGCTGCTCCGAACACACATTTTTTATCTTTGAAAAACAAATCAGTGCTGCTCCAAATACGAGGAGTGGGTGATATCAACAGAGCTGCTCCCCACAGGAGGACTCAGGCATGCTCCAAAACCACCACATGTTCCAGCTTCTTCCCACTGGATCTCCAATGTGAGGGAAGTGAACCGTGGTGTACTTCTGTACAGAGAAGGAACAGAGTGGGGCCCCAAGGGTGGGGGGTGGGGGGTAGGGTAGGGGGCGGTAGGGGGGTAATTCACAAGTCTGGAGTCCTTTCTGCTATGTTCAGCAGCAGCCAAAGTATCACTCGAATGCCACAAAAACAGCCCCCCGCTTTTAAATCTATGTTCCCATTTGTGTGGGGCTGTTGGAGAAAAGTGCTCCTCTGCCCAGTCAGCGGAGGGGGGGAGTGCTGTTGACTATCAGACTTTTAAAGGCTAATTGCAAAACCTTTTAAGAGATTTTAAGAGCATGCTAAAAAACTCAAACACATACCTCAAAACATTAATAAAATAGCTGATCAAGGCAGCATTTTTCTCCTTTGCAAGAAAAAGTCAATAGATCAAGACTTTATTCATTTAAACTCCTGGGGCATTTGTGGTTATAAACCATGATGGATGAATCACACTTTTGAGGCTTTTGCTCTCCCTCTTTGTTAGCTGAGAGTGCACAGCTGCTGACATGGTACACACGCTGCGAAAGACAGCAGCCATGGCAAAATATTTCGGAAGGGAAAAAGCCAAAAGGAAAGCTGAAAGCTCATGCTGGATGACCGAGCGAGTGATGTTATCACTCAGAGGGCCAGATCTCTGTTTAAAGGGCTGGCTGCCCAGCTGCTGCTGCGGCTGATGTCCAGCCAAACAGGAAGATAGAAGAAACCCTTGCAGGCAAACCTAGCTAAATTCTGTCTTTATCCCAGTTCAGTGAACAGTGCAACAGTACAAACAAAAACACACAAAAACCCAGGCAGGATGACATGCCAAACATGTATGCTGTTGGTAGAGTTAAAAAACAGCTGGATGTTACACCGCACTTCCCTTAACACAGCCAGATGGTTCTCCTACTACACAGACTGCTATGCAGTTTCCTAGAATGTTAAGTGATGTATGGATGTAAAAGTAGTCCAGCCTGAAACTGATAATGCGTCAAGTCATCAAAACTCCCATTTTGCTCCTAAAAACATAAAAAAGGCATGACCACTCACCATTGCAGGTCCAGTCATGAGCAGAGAGCAGCCATGGCAAAGCTCGCCAAACTTCTCCCAGTAGTGCTTCCGACAGTACAGCTTGCCATCCTTCTCAAAGTACCAGTTAGTGAGGTGGTCGGAGCACACAGAGCACCTAAAAAGGTCAAACAGCGGCATTAACACACAGTAGAAAAAGAAAAGAATTCATATACGAGACTCAACTCTGCCTGTACAAGGTGATAAATAATAATTAAGTCAAAGGAATTTGACTTCTAAAATTCAGTCTAAGTGATCTAATTAAATCTGCACATCCGAATCGATTAATATTTTACGGGTCGTTAAGGATAACATTTTGGCTTTTAATCAATGAATAGTTCCCAGAGATAGTCTTGAATGACTCGTTTTAACGGATTTAAACATGAAAAAAGACAATAAGAGCTGAAAGTCACTAAAGACAATGAACAACCAAACATAAGAGACACTTTGTTCAGGATGGAAATCATCACCAAAATTGGAAACGTTTTCAGATTTCTTCCCCGCTCAACATTCTTCCCCTACATGCAGAATACGTGCATCTTATGAAATGTGTTGGATAACAGCAGGAAGGCTGTGCAGACGCTCACTGTCAATTGTCATTTGTGTTGGTCCCAAACACCTGGTCAGGAGCTGTGCAGGGTTCCCTGTGGATGCTGTTATTTGGGAAATGTTGGACGGAGAGGGGGAAGAAGGACAACCTAACAGGATGTTGTAGTTGGTGGCTTTATTCGTTTGCTGAAAGCAGCCCTTCATCTCTGAAGTTGCAGAACTGTCTTGGTTTCAAGCAAGATGAAAAACAGGAACCCCCCCCCCCCTTTGGCAACAACCCTTTAAAAGTTAAAAACAGACCTCTAAAAGGGGCAAAGTCCTCCCATCATCTGTGTGATAACTATGCATTTCTTTGTTTGCTGGTGCTTAAACTTATCACCGTTCGCCCTCTTATCTCGGTCAGTGTAAACAATCACAAACTACCCTCTTAACCTTTTGGTCAAGAAGTTCAAACCAATCAAATGTGAGCATCTTTTGCCATATTCTTCTTCTTCGTTCTTCTGACAAAAACATCTGGCTCCACCTTAAGTTTTTGTTTTACAACCTGCCTGTTTTGATTGCTCCAAATTTCACACACAGCCGACACCTTTTGACACACTGCATTAAGTCCTCTTTGTGAAGGAGCTTTATGACCCTTTCAGGTGTATTAGTCACGGCCCTGGTGTTGGCGAGACGTTTCCAGTAAATAAGCATCCACCGAGAGTAGCGTCTGGTATTTATGGGGCAGGGGCTGTGGGTGAGGAGGCAGCCCTCATTGGCCAACCCTCTGAAAAGCGTGAGGCTAGAGTCTCTGCTGAGGAGCACCAGCCGCTCTGATGACAGTCACATTCTTGTCACACTACTGAAACCACTGATTGATAGAGCCTGCCACCTGAGGAGAAACTTGGCAAACTAAAGGGATGTTTATGGCCGCGGTGTTGGAACACAATGTTCCAACGTGAAGAACACTGAAGCTGCCATGAAATGGGATGCACCTGCAGGCCATTTGTCAGAGGAGCAGCACAGGTTATTCAAACCCTGAATCAAACACCTTGTGTACGATTAGCTTAATGCAGCGTCTGTCGTTTGTTATTTGTCCCCCCCCCGCTCCCCCATTAAGGCAAGCATAGTAAAATAGATCTCCATTTAAGGTGATAGTGTATGAATTGGTATGAATGCCAGTGTCACAAACAATAAGAGGTGCGCGCGTTCACAGGACTGGTTTCGCTCTCCAGCTGAATAAGAGCAACACAATTGTGACACCATACACAGGAATGAAAGCAACAACAAACATTAAAGACATCCTGATCTAAGCTTTTTAGAAATTCCTGTGGCATCGAACAGTCCGGCAGGTTAATTAGCTAAATTAAGTAAGGTGCAGGCAGGTTGAATTTCAAAAGAACAAAATCTATTTATAGAAATCTGAATGCTCTTTGTTTTCAGTGTTTTGGTGAAGAGCTCCGAGCAGCTGAAACTCGCACAGGACGCTGCTCTCGGCACTGCAGGTATAGTTGATCCAGGATTATTGACTTTGGCAGCGATTCCAGATTTTTCCGAGCTTTCTGGCATTACTTAAGACGGAGCTGCCCTCTCGACAGTAGACCACATGTTTGTCTCAACGCTAGAGGAAAAAATGTGGAGGAATCACTGGCTCTAAGGCTGAGAGAACACTACATCCAGTACAGAGCGGCATGCCTGCATACGTCTTTATACCGCAAATGGGAAAAAAACAAAGACCTGAGGATGAGCACACGCTCTGTGTAATGACTCCAGCATGACACATGGCACTGTGATGAGACGAGGGGAAGCGGAGCAGAAAGTGGGCCTGACCGGCAGCAGGGGGTACAGCTGCACCAGAGAACAGACACCTGGTGTGTGCTGTTTGTGTGAAAGCTGGCAATATGTGCAATCTACCTGCTGGAGAGAGCTGGGGGCCTTAAATGATCATGGATACGATTACAACTTCAATACTGCATTCATTTACTATCAGGGCAAAAGAGGCCTTCTTTCAAGTCTTAAAGTCTACTAACCACATCAACAGCACAAAGATTTGTGTCTTTTTTTCATAAAGGGATTAAAAGATCACTCTCATTTCAGGCTGAAACTTTGAAGAAAACTCAAATCAAGAGTCTCTGCTGGACACAATGACAACTCAACAACGAGGAGCTCCGCTGGTTCATTACTTTGCACAAAACTAAAGGGAAAATGTGCATCAGGCATGTTCTTATACTTTGGAGCGAACATTCTACTTGGTAGAACGGGCCACATACAGCTTACCTGTAACAAATGAAGCAGTGTTGGCCAACGAGAAACAAAACCCAGAGGAGGAAGGCAGACAGAACCGATCCCTGCTGGCCAACCAGAGGAGTGAAATGGAGAGAGCTCTTTGGGATTCTTTTCTGGGAATGCTATGATTACTCTGGCATGCACTGACCACATCTCTTCCTCAGAAGCAGAAACAGGTCATTGTCAATTTGTTATGTCATGCCAGTATGTTTGCTTCATCAGGACCCAACTGCAGGACTACTGCCTCTGAAAACGCACAGTTCACTTCAAACAAGCATGATTTGTTCTTTTCCTCCTTTTATTGGACAGTTTTTCTTCAATAGATGTGCTTAAACACATGATTGCAAATGCAACTTATCCCTTATGACCATGATTAAGTTATAAGCTGCTATTTTTGTGAAAATCTATTAAATCTTAACATTTTATTTCCTCTGTTCCTGCGACGCTGCCACGAGGTACCAAAGCATCCACAAATCCAGACGCTTCCTCCATTAGTAAGTTTAAACAAAGCGGTGATTTCCTTCTAAAGTCCATCCACTTACACACTTTACTTTGTCTTGATGACTGTGTACATTTTTTAGGTTTCTGATGTTATTTCCACCTTACTTTTGAGTTCATTTCGGTCACTTTAAGCATCACAAGTTATATCATATTTGCAAGGAACACTCCTGGATGGACAGTTGGAAAGTATCCAGACTCTGTAAACCTCATTGCAGAAACAGGTAGATTCTCACCTCTTCATACCTTATAATGTTTGAGGCTTTTTTGCATTATTTTCGCATCCAGTCAATCAGAGTTTAAAGAGGCATAATAACATAAACATGATGAACTGGATACATACAAAAAAGAAGAAAAAAAAAACTTTTAATATTTCAAACATTACTATGGAGAAAGAAGAAAAAAGTCCAGTATAGTAAAAGCTCCAGGAAACAGGACACTGTTTCAGGAACCGTAGATGTTTTGTCTGGCCATGTGAGTGCACCAAAACTGTCCGACTAGACTGGGCAAACACACACAGAAGGAGAGAGAAAAGTGCAGCATTTCAACCGATACGGAGTGTACGACTTTCAGAATCCGTCCAGCTGCATCAAGAAAAAACAAAAAACGTATTCTTGCTTCGGGAAAAAAACAAACATTCTTAGACAAAGGAAAAAGCACCTGATACACTATAATTATTACCCATTATGTCCGTCTACTATCCAGATGAAGTGATATAAGTATGCTTATAAAAGCACCAGACTTCCTTTTCTGCATGCTGCTGAATAGGGGGTGGGAACATTAAGGGCAGCTATTTCTACAGCAAACAATGCAATCATCACGCCTGCACAAGCTCTACAAAGCAAACACTGCTCATTTCCTAAAATCCACATTCCTGACGGAGTGTATTCCTTTGTGGAGGTATGGAGATAGTAAAAATGGGGCCTGGACGGGTGCCCTTAAAGACCTGCAAAGGGTGTGTTTTACTTTTCAGTGGGAACTTGCAGTACTTTAAGTTCTGGAAAAAAAAAAACCTCAATCCATGAAGCGAGGGGCAAAGGTTTTTTCTTTTCATCTTCTGGATCTAAACTCCAGGCTTAGATCAAGTATGATTAGTCACCTCTGACTTCCACCAGCGCATGCCAGAGCAAAGATCTGACCATCTGTAGAGGTGCAAAAATTTCAAAAGCCTACAGCTGCATCATCTGTTCAGTTATTGCTTGACCTGTTTTCATAAAGAAAGCTAGTTCAAATGTCTACTTTAATTTCTCACAGCCTAAATAGATTTCAGGATATTGAAGTTTCTAGTTTAAATCATGATAAGAGTCTGCCACCATACCTAATGTGCACAGGGGAAAAAAAGCTAAAACCAGCATGTAAAAAATGGTGCTATTTATGGCACCTGAAAGGACTGTATTAG